AATATTGCTTCTCTTTCTCTTTTCTACAAATACTATAATGGGCACTGCTCGAAAGAGCTAGCGTCTCTTGTGCCATCTACTAAAGTTCATTCTTGTGTTACTCGTCATTCAATTAAGTCTCATCCATTTTCTGTTACTGTTCCTAAGTGCTCCAAAAAAATCTTATTCGTCTAGTTTTTTTCCTCGAACATCAGTTCTTTGGAATTCGCTTCCTTCATCTTGCTTTCCTGATTCATATAATTTGCAATCTTTTAAGTCGTCTGTCAATCGTTATCTTGCTCTACAATCTTCATCTTTTCTCTTCCAGTAACTTCCAACACTAATTAGTGGTTGCTTGCAGCCTTGTTGGAAGCGAAGATAATTAAAAAAAAAAAAATTTAATACATTAATATAAGAAGATAAAATATTTCAAAGAAATTTTTTTATTCCTGTGGGTATCTAATAAAATTTTGAACTTTTATTTTGGTGGTACCCATAGGCCTGTGCACTAGGAGTGTTTAAAAAAATAAAATTTTTAAAACGCTAATACACAAGAAGCTAAATTTGGGATTTCTGAAAAAACCAGGATACACAACAATCTAAATAAAAAATTTGGACCATTATGATCACATAAGAAAAAATTTTTTTTAAAAATAATGAGATTTACCTTGCGCTCAAAGCCAAATAATTTAGGAAAAATTTAGGCATTTTTTGAGGTATTTTGCTGCTTGAGCACAAGGTAAGCATCAATATTTCTAGAATTTTTTTTGTAATTGTATTTTTTTAAATATTTGTCCCTAATTTGGCTTCTTGTGTATTTGCGTTTTGAAAATTTTTTTTTTTTGAACACCCCTATTGCGCACAGAATAATAATCAAAACTGTTTGATGTTTTTAAAATGACATTTTCAAATCTTTAATGTTTCTGCATAATTTTTTGCTTTTTTTTTTTTAATTTTTCGTCTAATAATTACCAAGTACTTTGCAATAATTTTTAATACTGTGCAGTTTGGAGGATTTGCTATCTTGGACAACTTTCTGGTCATTTTTTTTTATACCATCCCATTGCTAGTTTGCTATAATGACTTGATGATAAATCAGGCCAGAACACACCTCTATTATCATGTGATTTAGTAGGAGGTAAAGTATGTTTTTGTTAACACACTTTAACATATATTTTATTAAAAAGTGTGAGAAATATAGGGTGCTGATTTTTTGTCATACATGCAAATAGCTTGTCTAATCATAGCTTTTTTTAGCAAACTTATTATTTTTAACGGTTAGGTACTTTTTGTGATTTAAAAGCTTGAAAAACATATTTATATCAAACTTTTATGAAAAAACAATAAGAATCCTCATATTTTTGTGCGTTCCCTTAGTAAGAGAGACTTATTCAAAAAACTGTGAACCAGTTTTCTAACTAGTTTTATATTTTGAAAAACCTCCTTTCCTCCATTACCAGATTTGCAATTGATTGATTTTGTTTAGGAAAAACGTTAAACAACACGACTAATGATGTAGAAATGTATTTGCAACTTTTTTGCTACTGAATTGTAGCTAAATTAAGATTTTCCATAAATTTGTGCAAAATATTTTTTTAAACGTCTTCTTCTTTTGTCATTTTTAAATTTTATACTTATTTTACATTAAAAAAAACTCAAATCTTTTTTTGAAATCATTACTCTTTCCAGTTTATTTTCTGTACACGCTTTAGAGATAATCCTCATGTTTTTAATTTTAAAAATTTCCTTTTTTCAATACGCTTGCTTGTCATCTTTTTTTAAATTAGTGCATTGACAATTTTTTCTGAATATTTACTTAATTATAAACAGTGAGTAGCCACAATAGTATAGCTGTAGTTTGTGTGATGTTATTGATGAAGTCTTGATGAAAAAATTCAAATCACAAGAGAACAACTACATATATTTTAAGTACATTTTGAAATGGTGACACCCAAACGTGGATCTAAAAAATGTCTTGTTGGCTCAATCCATCTAAAACATTTGAGAATTAATATTTTGCATTATCATTATATTATTACTATATATATATATATATATATATATATATATATATATATATATGTATATATATATATATATATATATATATATATATATATATATATATATATATATATATATTAATATATACAACCCTCGGAATTAGGGTCGGCATTAACTGCCGACCCTAATTCCGAGGGTTTACCTAACTGCCGAGGGTAACCTAACTGCCGATCTAAATGTGTTTGCGGTCGGCAAAAAAAATTTGTTTTGCCGACCTCGTTTCGATGCTTTATGGTAAGACCTTTATATTTGCCGACCTGATAGCGACCTCTATAAGATTGAAGTCGGCAAATTACTGCCGACCTCAATTTTCCTAATTCCGAGGGTTATATATATATATATATATATATATATATATATATATATATATATATATATATATATATATATATATATATATATATATATATATATATAATATATATATATATATATATATATATATATATATATATATATATATATATATATATATATATATATATATATATATATATATATATATATATATATATATATATATATATAGGTGGGTCATAAAATTTTTTTTTCTTGTTACAGGCTCTAAACATTGCTAATAGTTATTAATATGGATACTATCAAATATGAGAATGATTGTGATAGATTTAAAGGGCGCAACTTTATTGGGAAAATTACCAGTACCCTAATATTTTAAAGAAAAAAAGTTTTTCAAAAGTAGGTCAACTTGGTACTCAAAAGAAGCGAAATTTTCGGCAATGAGATTTTTATAAAAATCGTTTTATAAAAATCTCATTGCCGAAAAAAATTGTCATTAAAAAACATGTAAAAATTCACCTTTTTTACCTTTAGTTAAAAAGCTATAGTTATTATGCAATAAAATCTAAAATAATAATTATAGGAAAAAATCATTATTTTTGAAATTTTTATAAAATTTTGCTTTATTTGAGTACCTACATCACATAATTTTGAAAAACTTTTTTTTTGAATAATAATAGGGCCTGCTAATTTTTGTAATTATAGTTGCCGGTGGAAGACATTGTTCAATCCATAAAAGTAAATACTTTCCTAAATCAGTACATAAAAAAACAACTTCCTAGACCATAGCCAGGTTAGCAACTCTAAAAAAAAATTTTATGACCCACCCTAATATATATATATATATATATATATATATATATATATATATATATATATATATATATATATATATATATATATATATATATATATATATATATATATATATATATATATATATATATATATATATTTAACCCTCTAGTGCCCCAATTTTTTTTCTTCACCAAAAAGTTATGTTAGGCTAAATTGAGGCTATTAAAACTCAATTTCAAACTAATTTTTTTCTAAAGTAAAAAATATGACCTAACTTGGTTCGTATGCTATTGTCTATAGGCGGACACGAGCATTACGCTAAAATTTCTAGCGATGTAATTTTTACATGGATTTTTATAATACCCGCCTCGAGGCGGTTTTGGGAACTAGAGGGTTAAACAATTTTAAAATGTATTCTACAAAATAGTGCTAAATGTTCTGAAAAGAACAGAGCAATTATAAAGTAGTAAAAAATCACTTAGCAAAAAAATTTTTCATTTAACGCTGTGTTTCATCAATAAAGACTCATCAGGAATCAGTAATATATATACTATAGCATATATATATATATATATATATATATATATATATATATATATATATATATATATATATATATAGTGTATATATATATATATATATTTATGTGTGTGTATATATATATATATATATATATATATATATATATATATATATATATATATATATATATATATATATAATATATATATATATATATATATATATATATATATATTTATAATTTTTTTTATAAATACTTTTATTTCATATTATAACTTAACAAATAATTATGCAAAGTGGTTATAATTTAAAATTCAAATTTAAAATAACCAAAATTTACCAGTTGTACCACTAGAATGCACCTTCCAGATTAGTAAACAGATATCATTTTACTAAACCATAAAAATATTGTAAATACAAATTCTTTTTATTTATATTATCTCAATGTATATGATATGTAATCGTTATATTTACATGCACCAGTTACATTATATGCAGAAATAATAGACCAATAATATCTGTTTAAACATAGAGTATATAAAATACCTAAGCAATTTAAAGTCCCATGATCCTCTAAAAGTATGTTCACTCTTAAGTAGATATAAGTTTTGTTTACAAGTTCTTCATATGACATTAGGAAAGTTTATACTATTTCTATGATAGCCATCATTTATGTAAAGTTTAGCAATATCTTTTATTCGGGTGGTGACATCTGATAGACTTAGATCTAGCCCCTTTTTTACCCAACACACTACACAATCGGAATTACATACAACTGTTTCCAGAAATAACTGTCTGGTATCATTATTTACTTTTATGAGTTAAGTCCAGACAATTTCACAACTTTAAATTCGTTAATCTGTTTAATGTTTTTGTTCAAAATAGTGCAATTTATTGTTTAGTAAACTAAATTCGTGGAAGAACTTTTTTACGTGGGTTTTTAAATTTTAGTTTGACTCGTAGTGCGGTAGTTTAAAGAGTTCTACGTAAACTTAAAAACTTTAATTTGCTTAATAATTTTACTGAACTTAATTAAAAATTTTCAAAATCACGCTATAATTAAAACATTGCATCATCGGTATAAAAAATACCAGGTAACACTACATCGAACCCAGTAAGTTTTTTTTAGTTTAAAATTTAGTAAATATAAAAAATACACCAGTGACTTTAAATAAGTACACAAACGACAACTTATTATCACCAACAACTTTTAAAAATGCATCAGCAACAACTTAGTGATCGCAATTTTATATTTTAATATTTTAATATATATTAAGAAATTAATTATTTTTAAATTTAAGAAATCAAGTTGCAACATTTAATAATCATAAATATGTTAGGTCGCTGCAGTTTGCATTGAAAGTCCACTCCTTAAATACAGTGCTCGTGAGCATTACTTTAGAGCGTCGTTATGTTGGCTTTGCTTGGATATCGCTGCTGTGGAGGTTGCCATTAACAAGTATCTGGAAATGTTTCCGGCATTAGAAGATTCTAGAGAACTTAAGTTTTTAAATGTATGAAAAAATAATTAACTTTTTTTTTCTTTGCAGATTTTTATTCTTTTTTTAATCCAGCTGTTATCAAAACCACTATTCTCCTTCCTTTTTTCTTTTTTTTTATAACTCGCGTCTTGTTTCTCGTCTTTTAGAAATTAGTTGAAGCCGTTAAAGAAGAAAATATTGATCATTTTACGGAAGCAGTATGGTTTCATTAACAACGAATACTTATTAGTGTTTTTTTGTTTGTTTGTTTTATCATTTAAAAATTAGTTTCAAATTTTAATTGCTGTGTATTCTATTTAGGTTCGTGAATATGACTCAATTTCGCGCCTTGACCAGTGGTATACAACATTGCTGCTTAGGATAAAGAAGAGTTTCACGGGAGATGACATTGATATAAACTAGTTGTTTTCTTTGAACGTAAAAGCAATTTTTTTGGAGTAGATAAAGATTCTTATTATATTATCTTTGTTTATGCGTTTGCTTTAATTAATTATGAAGCTATTTGAAGCCAAGACACGAACGGGGTATTTGATTTTTTTAAGCAGAACTTAAAAAATTTTTAGAAAAGTTTATATAAAGTATAATCTGCATGATATTAAGATTTATATTTAATACAAAAGTACAAAACTCAAGTTATAATTTATAATTTGCATTTTAATTTTAAAAATAGTTCGTGTAATCTTGATGACTAATTTTTACGTTATAAAATTTAATTTTAAGGGAAAAAGTTTTAAAATCTTTTTAAAGTTTATATTTTTAGTTTCTTTGAAAAATTTTATCGCTACTTCGTATATATTTTTTTATTATAATTTGTATGTTAAAAAATGAAGATTTTGCTTTGATAAATGCATTGTCATTAAGTTGGATGACTAAGGAATTAAATTCTTCTACAAAAGTACAGTTTTAAATTATTTTTTTCAAGAATATAGTGAAAAAATTTATAAATTTAATTTGTAAAACGTAAAAGTTCTAATTTCTTTGAATTTTAGAGGATTTACAAAGTAAAAAAAAAGCAATCAAAAATATTAACTTTGTCTTAGAAACTTTATATGTTGATAAAAGTACTTATACTTGCTTAACTCTAAAGTTTTTGGTCTAGCAACACGCATCGCAACCGGTAATAAGAATTGCAACCTGTTATGTTATTTTTCTAAGGGATCGTCCATAAATTACGCAACGCAAAATATATTTTAAAAACATAAGTAGGAGATATTACGCTCTTTTGCGCGGCGAATTTTATTAAACTTAATGGACTATTTTGATTTTTTACTTAGATTAAAACTCTGCGAGGGAAAATTTTTGATCTTTTTTTGTTTTGTTTATTGTTAAATTTTGCTTTACGTAATTTATGGACGATCCCTAAATAAACTTTTAAAATAACTGGTAAATTATGCAGTCAAACAAAGGAAAAAAAACATACTTTGATGTGGAAATGATGAAATCACCATTTACGACATTTGTGAAACCGCTTCTTGAGTTCGCTATACCTGCATGGCAGCCTTATTTATAACGGGGTATTGGTGAGTTAGAGAAAGCGCAAAGAAGAGCAACGAAGTTAGTTCCACAACTTAGAAAGATTTTATATGAAAAAAAGACTAAAAGCAATGGGTTTAACAACATTGGAGAAAAGACGAGCTAGATGAGATCTTATACAACAATACAGATTCAAGCAAAATATAGACCAAATAAATTGGTACAAAAATCCAAAACCGGCATCATCCGTGACTAGTTCAGGCCCGGCTTTTTCTGTAAGGAGCAATAAATACAGGTTAGAAAGAGAATACGTACCATCATGTTTACCGAGATATAATTTCTTTACCAATCGAGTTTGTAAAAATTGGAATTTGTTACCAAATAAAATCATTGAAGCAAGATCGTTGAATGTTCTCAAATCGCGAATAGATAAACATTTTTCATAACTTGTGTTTTTTTAAATTGTGTGGGCTGTCTATAACCTGATGCTTGCATCGCGTTCCACAATTTATTATGTTTTTAAATATTTATTTTTAAACAAATTTGTAATTGTTACAGCAATAAATTCTACTATTACCTCAACCTTAAGGTTTAAAAACAGCAAAATGTTCTAATATTTTAAGAATCAAAACCGCATTATCAATATGAGCAAAAAAGACTTTTGTAAATAAAAACCTTTGATAAGAGTTAACAAAGTGAAGAATAACTACTAGAAACTTATAAGCTTTACTCATCTGGAAGTTTTTGATATTCTTTTAGTTTTAAATTGTTTACTGCTTTTTTTTGGCTTTTGCATCTTTGTGCTATTTGTAATTTTTAAAAAATCGTAGCTTATAAATGACTAGAGGTTTTTTTTCAAATTTTCTGATGTCAAAAACAAATAACTTCATGAGTTATTAGCAGTTTCCTGTTTTATTTTGCTGGCCCACCAATGGTGTTAGTCCAAGAAAAATTAAATTTTTTATCACAAGTTTTTGCAATATCTTTGGTTCAGGCCTTTTATTTTATTTATATAAAATGTTTTAAAAATATGAAGCTCTACTTTCGAGTGGTTTTTAAGTTATCGTTTTTCAAAATTGGTTCAAAATGACTCATTTTACAACCTTTTTTTTTATATATATTTTTGCACTTTATGGAAGAAATTGTTGCAAAATATTTTCCCTCTATTTACTCAAAATATACTCTAATACCTTATTTGATTAAAATAATAAAATTTGAGAAAGTTTTTTTTTTAGTGGCGACCCACCTTAAATTTATATTCTCAATTGAGACAACTCATCATAATAAAAATAAAACTGTCGGTTTTTGAATTGTTGACATTTTAACTGGTGTAATTGATCAACTATGCTGCAAATAATGTTTACAATCTAAATTAAATATTTCTGAAAATCTAAATTAAATCTTTCTAAAAGAAACTGATTTCGCTTAAATATTTGCTGCTATAACTGCAACGAAAAAAATAAATTTTATTGTTCAAAAATACGTTCTGGGAAAAAAACTTGATGTAAATAATATAATGGTTTGTTAAATGTGTGCATGTGGTCAAGGTTTTTCAGGATTAGAAAAATTTACATCTTTAACAAGCGCTAATAATAATAATAATTAATTCTGTTTCTGATTGTGCTACAATTGTTGCAAAAGAAATGATTGATGCTGTAAAAGAAATCTTCAAATATTGTTGAAACTGCTGTATCAGTTGACGGTAGCTGACAATATCTTGGATTTTCTTCATTAAACGGATTTTTTTTTTTTTGCAATATCGATGAACGCGGGTAAAATTCTTGATTGCAAGCCAATGAGTCAATCATTCATATCAAAAATCCCAGACTATAGTCTGAAATTAAATTTTAAAGAAAATAATTCTAATGCATTCGAAGAAAACATCACATGTATGTAAATTAAATTTTAAAGAAAATAATTCTAATGCATTTGAAGAAAACATCACATGTATGTAAACTAAATTTTAAAGAAAATAATTCTAATGCATTCGAAGAAATTCTAATGCATTCGAAGAAAAATACGAATTCACTCAAACATCTTATTTGTTAATAATCCGTCGACTAGACTTTTAACTACCTGATTGACGTAAAAACAAATAAAAAGTATATGTCTTGCAAAATAGACATTTTTTTATTAGTTTTAAAGCGCTGATAGTTTTGACAACCTCTTGAACGTTAAAAATATTTTCTTGCAAACAAATATTTGTCGCTAAATGAAATGAAATTGTATTAAAGGGAAAAAAAATTATAATTTTTATTTAAAGTGCGTTGGTTTACCCTATATTATTTTAATTAGAATTAACAGACAAACAGATTTTTATTTTTTGAATGAAAGGTTTATTGCTTGTAGAACAAATTAAGTTTTATTATATTATGTTATTGACAAAACACATGTATGTAAATTATTGTAGTTCTGCTCCTGACATGGAATTGGTGTAAAAAGAATAATTAGTTGTTCTATTCACACACACAAAAAAAAGTATACTAACTATTATGGTGATGGCGATTGTAAAAGCTATTCTTGTATTAGGGATACTTATCCTGGTATAACGGTGTGTAAGTTAGAATGTGTTGGGCATGTACAAAAACGACTCGATAATAGATTAAGAATTTTGAAAAAAATCTTTAAAGGAATTGGAGACAAAGGCAAATTAAACAATGCTATAATTGACCGCCTACAAAACTACAACAGAGTTGCTGTTAGGCAAAATACCAACAATTTAGAAAGTATAAAAACAGCCATTCATCTCGTATCATCAACTGAAATCGTCATGCTTATTAACCTGATGGTAACATAAGAAAGAAAAATTGCTGTGGCATTTAACCCTAACCCTGACTCACAGATTAGTGCACCTGACTCTATTGTATCATTCAAGTAATTACAATCAGAGTTTTATGTAGTTATCAATCTACACTGCTGGTTTTAAGAAAATATCTTGGTTTGGGTTTTTATTATTCTATAGCAACCACTTTTTCTCCTATTTTAGTATCACCAATTTTCAATTTTTACAATAATTAGGGGAGATAGGGGCGCATTGATTGTCGTAACTATATTTTATAAACTGCAAACAACCCGATATAGATATAGAAAAATATTAATTACTTTTGATCTTATAATGGTAACATTATTTTCATGTTTAATTTGGATCCATGATAAAAAAAACTAAAATCTTAAATATTCATGATTTTATAATTGTTTAATTAAAAACTGAAAAATAAATGTTACTGTAACAATAAAAACTTTTTAAAAAATAAAAAAAGTAATTTTAAAAAGCTGAATCAGCATAAAAATACAAAAAAAGTGAGTTATTTAAAACAACTGATGCTTAAAAAGTACTTATGCTATCAAGCTAAAAAAATAAAAATTGGAGGAAACACATTAATAAAGTGCCTGAAGCGGATCATTTTATATTTTTATGCCCTTTCATAATGGCTCCTAAATTAGTGAATAATCCAAAAATTTGACTAAAAAGTGATAGAGAAATACATATTTTTCAATTAAAAAAAAACTTATTTTAAAGAGCCTGCTTCTGGCACTACCTTAAAGTATAATAAACAAACCCTGAAAATTTGAACCTTTATGCGAATCTTAAGATATATTTGTTCTAAGATTATTATATTCTAAAAAATAAAGAACAAAAAAAAAATGCAAAAGAAATTTAGTATTTCATAGTTTCCTACAGAATATGATTCTGAATCATTAGTTTCTTTTTCCATGTCTATGAAACCTTTTCTACAACCTCTTAGTTTTTTCCTCTTAGTAATTTGAGGTGCCTTACATTTTTGGTTCATATTTTTTACCCTTGAAAAGTCTATATTATAAGCTCCTGCAATGCTATATTTTCCAAACAAAATATTAAGGTGTTTAAATAACTTTTTTATATCCTAATAAACCATCATTATATGTTAAAACAGCTGATGCAACACATATTTCCTAAAGTTTGCTTTGAAAGAAAATTGTTTTTTGGACATTTTTTCCATATAATTTGGTTAAAAGCTTCATTAGGATTTTTCATTAGCAATTGTCATCTTGTTTATTATTTTATCAGTTAATCTTCCTCTTCCAGAAATTGGTTTATTGTCATCTAATTTTTTCCTCCTGTCATCATTACGAAGTTTTCGTAATGATGACAGGGGGAAAAAGGATGTAATGAGTATATATAAAGGAATTGACTACCTGTTTTTGTTGTTATGCACGTTGCTATGAACAATAATTGACATAAGATGATACATTTGCTGTTTAAAACAGGTTTTTAATGTAAAGAATGAATAAAAATCACTTTCTTATGAAGGATAGGTAGTTTATCTAATAAAAATAATAAAAAAAATTCTTTTTTTTTTACCATGAATCAAGTTTTTTCATTTTTTTCATATTTTTTACCATACCTTAATATTGCTTTTCCTTAGTGCTATAAAAGTTTTAGTTAAAAAGTATTAGTGTATATTATATAATACATCTAAAAAAAAGTAAAACTACTATGAAAAATTATTTACCATTACAACCTAATACACACCAGTGTTTAACAGTGTATAAAGCTGACCAGTGTTAGTTTTATACACTGATCGCCGTATATATATATATATATATATATATATATATATATATATATATATATATATATATATATATATATATATATATATATATGGGGTGAAAAGAAGGTGATTATAAAGTTATTGTCGGTTTTTTTACGAATTTAGTCGGGTTTTTGACATAATTCAGTTGGCTAATCTTTCGTTTTTGGAACCTTTTTTATTTTTATTTTTTATGGAACCAGTCGGTACTTTTTAAGGATTCACCCCCCTCATTTTATTTGCAGAATCGCCTCTGTATATATATATATATATATATATATATATATATATATATATATATATATATATATATATATATATATATACACACGGCCATTCCGATGGAGGGGGGCGTAAAGAGTGTCTAGCCCCCGAGAAAAAGGAGAAAAAAAACAAAAAAAAAACAAGCAATTAAATTTAAAAACACGAAGAAAAATGAAAAAAATACGATTCTAAGAAAAAAAATATTTCCCTATATTTCAAAATATTAAACCTTTATTGTACTGTGAAAAAATGGGAGATAAAAAAAAAAGCTATGAAATATGGTTTTAGCATCCAAAAAATACATAAGGTTTTGGTTAATTTGTTTAAAAAATTTTTGCAAACATTTATTTATCAACCCTTAAAAGAACTTTTTTGGCGTAATTTGTTAGTACATTAGAGTCCAAAACTTGCTGCGACAAAATTTTTTTAACATTAAAGTACAAGGCATCGAATAGATAGCAGAGACTCGTATTGACCTAGATTTGGCTTTACCTAACCTGGTCTGAATCAAATCTGGTACAGAGACGAATGATACCAATAGCGAGGCCAGACCATAAAGTAGAAAAAATTGTACTTAATACCCTATTTTATTAAACTATTATCAACTGAAAAACAATTATGAAAAAATTTAAAAAAATGTTCTGTTAAATATAAAAATTTAACAAAATTTTGAAAAATTTACAAATTTCAAATGGAATTTCAATTTATTTTACAATCATACCATCATTAAGTTTTTTAGGACATTTCTTTGGAACTATTGCATTCATGACTTTTAAGGATATTTCGTAATCACGAAGGTTATAGGCAAAGAAAAAAATTAAAAAACTATGTACTTTTAAAAATACTTTTTTACCATACCAAAATAATTTTAACCTAAAATATAAATAATTTTTTTTTGTAAATATACAAGCAATCAAAAATAAAATCTAAATAAGTAAATAAAAAGTTTAGAGAACATCGGCTTCAAAAAAATCACGCGATCAAACCACATAAAAAATCATGTGATCAAACCACATAAAAAAGAGACCAACCAGCATATAAGAAATCATAAGATGTGTAAAAAGAAATGGTAAGACAAAAAAAAAAGAAAAAAAATTTAAAACAATCTAATCTCAAAAATAAAATCTCGATAGAATATTAAAATCATTTGTAATATACAAAATAAATTCTTATTAGAAAACCTTATTTTTCGAAAATTAAACGAGTAATCGCACCAAACTAATACCCTTTATTGTGTGCGTAATAATAAATCTAACTTTTAAATTATCAAATGAATTTCTAATTTCAATTGAAATTATTTTTACAACATTTTAATTTCTACGGTTAGACCATTCAATGTCATGTTATAGCCGACTGACAAGCATTACCATCCATTTCGTGTGTATTTTTTTTTTCCTAAATAAAAAAGTAAAGCTTGTCACAACTATTAATGTATGTATGTATGTATGTATGTATGTATGTATGTATGTATGTATGTATGTATGTATGTATGTATGTATGTATGTATGTATGTATGTGCATATATAAACTTTTTAAACAATTTGAATTAAATTTTTTTTTACCTCAATCATCGGATCTTCGTTGTGAGAAGCACAATAAAGACGTTGCACATATTTTGCAGTAATGTAATTAAGTCTTTCAGATCTAGTATTTTTAAGTTATGTAATATTTAAAGATATCTTAAAGATTTATGAAAAATAAAATTGTGTACTTTATAGCTAATAGCTAACAAACTATAAAAGCCAATAACAACGGTAATAAAAACTCTGAACAAATTCACAAACTCACTTGGATGAATCTCTGCTGATTTTTTTAGTTGAGCCAAGATTTGCTTCATAAAACTTGTTCAGCTTTTCATTGCCATGTGATTCCATAAACTAAAATGATAAAATGAGGTTTTTTAAAACTTATGTTTAGCAAAAAATAAAAAATAAAAAAAAAAACGAAAAAAAGTTGTTAATACAATTTTTTCTGGCCATGAGGCGATATCATATCCCAATATATGTTCATACCCGAAAAAATGTTTACATCCCAAATAATTTTAAAAGAAACTATTTGAAACATTTTCACTAAATTATGCCACCTGCTACATCCAGCATAATATTACACGCAGACAATAATTATAAAGTCTTACCTCAACTAATTGCTCATCCCATTTATCTAATGATAACGATTTCACTTTGGAAACATGTACACCCAAACCTCGGTGAACACCAGAGCATTCTATGCAAAATACTATTCCAATATTTGAACTTGCCCACCCAGGTCCTATTTAATATGTTGAAACAATAATAAATAAGTCCTATATAATATGTTGAAACAATGAATAAAGAAAATAAAAATAATAATAATAAAAAGTACACTAAAATTGAGTTATAAAGAATATTGAATAGAGTAAAAAAACATGTGACACCAAGAATCTATTTGCTCAATTAAATGTAGTCATTTAATTGAGCAAACAGGATAGAAGGACAAATCAAATAAACAAAAATACTTTTAAAACTATAGACAAAGGGAATGTGTTACTATCCACAAAGGAAATGTTATCGACAAAGGGAATTTATTTATTCTTATTTATTTAAAAATTAAATAAGAATAAATACACAACTCAATAACAGTTCATCCAATGAAACAGTTCACCCAAAATATGAAATCCATGGTAATTAATTGCAGAGATTCATAAAAAAATATGTTTACAAGTTCAAATTGCAAGAGTAGGCAGCTTTTTACTTGCTATAATGTGTAGATTTAAATGAAACTTCCTTGCAAAATAAAATAATGGAGCTTAAACAAGTGATCAATATTTAGCTACTGTTTTCTTTAAGTAAAACCTGGTGCTAACTTTTTAAACAAAACTTCTTTAAATTCTTAAATAAAACTTCTTTATATTTAATACTTTTCTTCAAATAAATTAAATCTATATTGAAGAAAACTGTTGTGATTGTGATAGAGTCTGTATTTATATTTATAAATTGATTTGTTCATTTAAAATTATGATTTCATTGACACAAAAGAATACTCATGCTTTAACAACAACCTCAAACAAGTTGTTATCTAATTCAAATCAATAATCTTTTTCCTTAATTAGATAAAAACAGAATACACATAACTATGAATGAATTTAAACATGAATAACTAACATAACTACACATAACTATGAATGAACTTGACATGATTTTCAACAAGCAAAAATATCTTTTGTAAAAAGAAGCTAAACATATTGCTTATTTATAATTATAAACCATATTAAATAAGTTAAAATATAAATATAATTTACTTTAATTTTAATTTACTGCAGTGTAGCAGTGTATATAGCAGTATGTATAGCAATATGTATAGCAGTGTATCTGCAATAGTATAGCAGCACAAATTTTGAGCATATTTATTTGACAATGTGTAAATAAAAAAGTTCAAATAAGATTGATATATAAATATAAGTAGAAAATCAAAGTTATTTAAACTCAACTTAAACATGTAGAAAATAAAAATAACAAAATTATTATTTTTTAGGTTAATAATTTATATAAATTGTTTTCTAGTTTATATTTTAGCTTTATGTTTGTCTGCATTCATTTAAAATCATACTATTGGCTAAATTAGCACAACAATTTGTTATTTGCTTATGTATGAGTCTATATGAGCACATACACATATATATTTATATTACACATATATACTTATATTACACATATTAGGTTTATAATATTTATATGTAATATAAACCTAATTAAACAAACAAATAAAATTGTTTGTTAATTATGTTTATAATATTTATATTACAGTAATATTTTTTAACTTGCAATCTGTTTTCAAAATTATTCAACAAAAACTGAGGAAGAATACATAAAAAAAACATGAGAGAGAAGAAATATTTATTTATTCTAAAAAATGTTTAATTATTATGTTTAATTAATTTATGAAAATTTATGAAAATTGTTTAACTTATGAAAATATTTATTAAGACAAATATAAATTTTCAAGTTACTTGGAGCATCACAATCTGCACAATAATCATTTCCTTTTACAGCTTTGATTCGCTCAACAGCATTACTACATACAATGTTTTCTTTTTTGAAGCCATCTGTAGATTCTTTAACATTGAGCGCTTGTGACTAAATTCAAGCATTAAAAATTTATTTTGAACTTTTCTTATAACTGGAACTTTTCTTATAATTTGAAGCTCAAACTTTTATGTAACTTTTTTCTGCAAATTTTGTGCAAAAAAAGATTCTCCTTAAAGTTTTAAATTATTTTTTTAATTTTTTGAGAATGCTAAAAAACTAGAAAAATACTTCCAGATTATTTATACTTTTTTTTCATAGTTAATTCTTAAACAAAAGTTATTATTTTTTGTTTAAGAAATGTCAATTGTTTATAATGCCAGAATTTACAAACTTGCACAACTTTACAAAATGCAATTTTTCATTTTAAAAAAAAGACAATATTTTCAATACATTTCATTGGTTACATCAAACATGACAACATGTGATTCAAACTTTAATTTCAAACAACAAAAAAGTTTAGTAGTAATATAAGTTTATTTTTAATAATTACGTTAGCATATTAAATAACTTAGTAAAATAAGGATTTATAAATAACCATTATAACCATTATAAATATAATATAATAAATATAACCATTATAAATATAATTTTTAAATATTTTAATACTACTTATTTTTTTATTTTTATTCACTCCTAACACAAGATTCACTCCTAACACAAGGCCGTAGACAACTTTTTTTGATGTTTTAGCTTAGCAACTTTAAAACAGGAAGAAAATTCCATATTTAAGTATGTTCATATATATATGAAATAAAGATGCTATGCAAAAAATTGAGCTGATTCGAAACTGGGAATAACAAAAACCCTTAAATGTTAGCGCCCCTCCTCCCCCAGCCCCAAAAAGTAGGGCAATGAGTCAAATTTGTTTTTGTTTTTTAATCTTAAACTTAATTTATATTCATCAACGAATTTCAAATTTGATTCAATAATCTCTTCTTGTTCGGCTTTTATGACCATATAAAGTTTACAGCCCCCTCAATTTGAAGGGGGTGTAAATTTTATAAACTCATAAAAGCTGAACAACAAGAGATTATTGAATGAAATTTGAAATTCAAAAAATATATATATACATATATATATATATATATATATATATATATATATATATATATATATATATATATATATTCATATATATATACGTATATATTCATATATATATACGTATATATATATATATATATATATATATATATATATATATATATATATATATATATATATATATATATGTATACATATATATATATATATATATATTATATAGATATATATATATATATATATATATATATATATATATATATATGTATACATATATATATATATATATATATATATATATATATATATATATATATATATACACAAAATTCAATAAACCATATAAAAAACAAAACATACTCAAGTAAAAAGAATATTTAAAAACTCACCTGATCTGGATTGTTGTTAAGAGCTGAACCTATTGCTTCCTGTAAATAAAGAGAACAAAATATTCCTAAAATTTTACAATTTACAAATTTATAAACAATTTGTAAAACAAAGTAATTTTACCTGAATAGCAGCTTTCCATTCTTCACATTCCTGATGGTTTCTAGCTTGCACAGTGTACTCTGCTTCTCTTGTGAGAATCTAAAGGAAAAAAACTAAAATTTTTATGGCAATAAATTTCAAAATCTTTATTTGAAGATTTCATCTTATAAATTTGTAAAACTTTATAAAAATTTAAGAAACCTGAAAACAATAGTTTCTATCTATTTCATTAGCATCACACTGTCGAATTGATGATAAAACTAACTTTGTTAACAACGATGGATTACGATGATATTGTCCTTGTACAAGCAACTCTCCATATTTCTTATCAAGTATGAAGTACTAAAGTATCAAGTATTAAATTAATGAATTAATAAATTAGTACTATATAGACATTCATAGCTATTTTTAGAAATATCTTTTTCAAATATGCTATTTATTGAAATAAAGTTTATAAAAAAAGTCAAAAATGGAAAACGCAATTAGATGATTTTCACTAGGGTAAGTTAGCCTTCAATCCATCCTGGGTTAGCCTAACTTTGGTCCACCCTAAACTCTTACTATTTTTTGTTTTAAAAAATTCAAGTAAAAGTTAAAATAGTGACTGAAAATATGCTAACTTACACCTATTGTGATAAAATATGCTAATTTACACCTATAAAATATGCTAACTTACACCTTTTGTGATAAAATATGCTAACTTACACCTATTGTGATAAAATATGCTAACTTAAACCTTTTGTGATAAAATATGCTAACTTACAACTATTGTGATAAAATATGCTAACTTACACCTATTGTAATAAAATAGTAATAGATTTAGTCAAATATCACTTTATCAAAAAAAAAAATAATATTAATAGATGTTTATGTTTTGTAATTTTCAATAATAAACTTCAATACTATAATTTTGTTTATTATTTTTTCTAGGTATCTATAAAAACATTTTGTTATAATACTTAATTATAATAAAATGTTTTTATAGATGCCTAGTAAAAATAATAAACAAAATGCCACTTTTGGAATTTGACAGAAGAATATGGAAGCTTAAGGATGTAAAGGAAAAGGGAATGGATGTATCCAGATAAGGGGTTTTTAATTACAAATTACAAAATGTTAAACAACTGAGGCTGATTAACAATCTGAATGGAGTTAAATATGACTCAGTTGAACAACAGTTCTTTAAAAGAATGAAGAGTAAAAATGAGGAAAACTTGAAAACGTGCATTCCAAAGCACCAATCCAAAGCACCAATCTATATGTAAAAAAAAAATGATTAAAGACTTTTGAGCATGAATAAACAGTAACAGTAAAAGGATGCAACTTGATAAATGAAAAGTCATGCAAGATTTAATTTTGATTGAAAGAACAAGTAGTGATAGCTCGCAACCATAATAGTATTTGTAGAAAAGCGAAAGTGATGCAATTTTATGATAATTAGAGAGGTTTAGGCAACTAAAGCAGGTCTAAGGTTAAAGAAGCCCGTCACTTTTTTGGATTTTGTCTTGCTAATTCCAAGCAAAAATATGATATCAGCAAGCTGAGTAATTAAATATTTAACAAGATTAAAAAACGTCAGATTACAAGACTACGTGTAGAGTTTTTGTTATAAATGTCTCGGTGACAAAATAATGTAAGATATTTATAACAAAAAAATATATATATATTGAATTATCACCATCATCATCTTATCATCCGCAGCCAGCTAACAGAGCTTAGAACAAACAAGTTAGTGATGATTTCTTTATTAGGCTACAAACTGTAGTTAATAAGTTAAAAGATTAAAAAAAACCTAAAAAACATTTTTCTGCTGAAGAATGAAAAATATGGAAATATTAAGTTATCAAATTTACAGGGAGGATCTCTAAAAGCATTATTTATTACAGCACTGGTACCAGATGTATCAGAGTTATGTTAAAAGGCTGCTTAACAAGCTCTGTTTGGATATAATAATTTAAAAAAATGCAAAAATATGTAAATAATATAAATATATATAAAAATATGCATATAATATAAATATATATAAAAATATGCATATAATATATATATATATATATATATATATATATACATATATATGTATATATATATACATATAAATTTATATATATATATATATATATATATATATATATATATATATATATATATATATATATATATATATATATATATAGTATATATATATATATATATATATATATATATATATATATATATATATATATATATATATATATATATATATATATAAGTTGCATCTCTTTATCGAGCTCGACACTTTCTTACTCTGGATTCTATTCTCTATCTCTATAAATCTCAAATCCGGCCTTGTATGGAATACTGTTGAATATCTAAGGCGGTTCTTTTAATGAGGCCCTTTCTCTTTTAGACCTTACAATGTGTTTTTGCACCTTTTAAGGTGCAAAAACGCATTGTAAACATAGTTGAACCTGCTCTTGCATTTCTCTTCCAGTAACTTCGAACACTAATTAGTGGTTGCTTGTAGCCTTGTTGGAAGCGAAGATGTTTAATATATATATATATATATATATATATATATATATATATATATATATATATATATATATATATATATATATATATATATATATATATATATATAAGTACTTTGTCTAGTTTTGTTTGCACATTATTTTATTTTATTTTTATCAATTTTAACTGAGTTTGTCATTTCTATCACATGGGTCATGCATATATTACCATTATTCTTTTTTTAATATTCGCTTTACTATAGTGTCTTTTTTTTGTTCTGAGCATCTGTTCAAAATATCTTTTTAATTTTTTTATCCTTTCTATCTTCCTAATTTTTTCTTTATTTAACTTAGGCTTGACAGCTCAATCTACTCCATTGATGCTTATTCTTGTGTAGTATGTCTTCCAGTTCCATGGCATTTTATCCTTGTTATATTTGTACATGAAGTAGAGGTTTTTAAAATTGATTAAACTAAACTACAAACACTTTGATCCACTTAGATTAGGCCATAACATGTAAAATTTAATTAGATCAAAGAAAATTAAAGAAAAAGAATAACTGTATTGATGAAGCATTTAGACTGGATAACCTTGTTTACTCTTAACAGTTATAGTGAAGTTACACATTCAACATTTAGGTCCTTTCTGCAAAGATAAAGATATTGAATTGGGTTTCTTTAGTGAACACGCTATCAATATTTGTTTCTAAAGAAGCATGGGAATGTTTTAAGTGTTTGATAACAATAAAAAATATGCAAAGTATATAAAAAAGCAGTAGTTTAAATGGAAAATATTAAATGTTTAATAATAAACAGTGTTTTTGCTTATGAGAACATAATTAATTTATGTACATAAATTATGTTTCGAATATCTTACTTGGTAATTGATAAATGTATCTACAATTTTGTTTAAAATCTTTTAAGTAAAAAAAAAATATTAAAAAATAAATAAATTGTGATAAACAAACAAAATATTATGTTATGTATAAGATTTAAAAACAAATAGTTATATAATATATATATAAAAAGAAATCAAAACTAAAAAAAGAATTTTTTTTTATTAATAATTTTCACAGAAAAAAAAGTGCTGAATGTTGGCACCCTTCAGAATTTCTTTAGAACCCATTTCAAGGGGGGCAACTAATAACTAGTCATATTTTATGAAAAAATGTACAACAGTGGCTTGCCCCCCTCCCTGGTGTTTATTTGGGAAATGGTCAAAGGGGCATAAATGCTAGGGACCTATTTTGATCCCTGTAAAAATCCAAATATTTAAAAGTAGTTTATGATTTTTTACACTAACTTTCCCTGAATGGTATGGTTCTAACAACTCTAAAAAGGTCAGGCACAACCCATCATTTGTCATTTCATCAAACTAAACATGGTCATGGTTTAACATGGTCGTGAGAAGCAAGAAAAAAAACAGTGCTAAAGTGAAAATTTTTAATGCTATATGAAATTGACAAAACTTGTCAAACTAATTAGATTGGAAAAGTCTAGCATTTAAACTAATTAGATTGGAAAAGTCTAGCATTTAAACTAATGATCAGCCAAAATTCTGTTTTGGTATCAGTTTTGGCTGAAATTTCAATTTAAACCGATACTGAAATTTTGGTTTCAGCACTTTTTATAAATTCAGTAAAAAGCCTAGTATTTAAAATTACAAAACTTTAAACAGTTAAAAACATGTAGACTTTTAAAAGTGACATTGAACTAAACAATAAAATTAGTTAAAAATAAAAGATATAGACAATAACTTAATAAAAAAGTTAAAAGTATACATATGAAATAATTTTAAAATTACATCAAATAACAAGGTAACTGCAAATAGCTAAGTAAAAAATGAATTAATTTTTTAAATTACAAATGAAAAAATGTAAAATTAACTAACATAATTTAAGTCAATGAAAAACTTTTATTAATCTGAGAGCATTTCAAGCATTCATTAACAGGAAAAAAACATCACAAAATATGTTCTGAGATGTCTTTAAACAAGGTTAAATGCTATCAGTATATTATTGGCTGTATTATTTATACTTCTATAACTAATAAGTTTTATTCATTGCACTATTTCCTATAAACTTTTCACATTACAAATAAAATTAAAGGAGAGAGTAAAAACGACACTTTTAAAAAACAGGCCACCGTTTATGCCACCGATACTTAAATCTTACCAACAAAGGATATCGACTTCTTGGGAATCCTTTTTGCTTTATACGAAGATAACCCTTTTTGAATTGAGCATTTTGTTGTAGAGACCTGAAAAATTTATAAACAATAAAAAATAAGTACATGCCTTGTTAAGAAGCTTAATGTAGCTCACATTTTACGTATGAAATAGCGATTTACATAAATGCTCTGCAATTTTATGTTAAACAAAAACTTTTATATTTTGGAATATCTAAATTATCTTTTCATATCGTTTAGGTATTTAGGTATTTGTTCAGATAATATTAAGTTGTAAAAAAAAGCATTTAACCACAATTGTGAATTTTTTTTCTTAAACAAACAGATTATTTAATGTATATTTTTTGAATTAAAAAACTTTAAATCAAATATGATTTTAAAAATTAAAAATTCAAATTTAGTTTTAATGGAATATAAAAAAGTTTTGTAATATTTAATAAAAAATAAGTTTCTTTCTTATTATTTGCTAACTAATTCATTACGTAAAACATCTCTCCATTATAGAATAAAATGTGTAAAAGCAAACAAAATACTTTTTTTTCTTTTAAAAAGGGAGAAGTGTTTTTGTTTATGAGAATGTAATTAATTTATGTATTAATTTATTTAACTCAACGATGTAAATATCAAAGGTGATTTAAAGTTACATTTATTAGCGTTAAGTGTTTTCATTATGCAATCTCACAACATGTCTTAAGTGTATCAAAGTGTAAAAGTATTTTTAAAATTTATAAACACTATAAACAAAAGGAACAGATTAAATATAAAAGTAAAAAACAATACTGGTTATCAATGAGGGTATCTTTTTTTTCTATATCCAAGTTTTTCAAATCATTTGAGAGACTGTCATCTATTGAAATAACATTTTTGTTTAATTCTTTAGAGTTATTATCAGTTTTTACATCTTGTGAGAGAGCATTATTCTTGGTGTGTAAATCACCAGAAGAAAAGCCATTAGAAGCTATACCATTTTCACCAGTTATTATTTCATCTCCCTCATGTGCTAAAAATAGAAAATAACATTTTTTGTTAATATAATTTAAATTTAAATAACATAAACATTCTTATTAATAAATAAAGCAAAAAAAAAAAGCAACCACTCACTCACCTAAATACTCTGCTGGAGTGCCAGTTTCATTTAAAGATACATAAAACTGAGAAGAGCCATCCATGGTTGATAAACTTTCATGAGTTTCATGTTTAGTTGAATCATGAACAACTTCCCAATCTTGTTCAACCTAAAATTTAATTAAAAAAAAAATTATACTGTTAAATTTACCTAAGAAAAAATTAGTTAGAACTCTGTCAAAAATTTTTATCAAATAAAATGTACGATTTTTACAAAAAGATTTTTGTTCGTCTGGTAGCAAACAAGTTAATGCGATTCTTCGTTTTTATATTTATATTATAACTATTTTTTGAATATTTTAGCGCAAATATTTGTTTTAACTTTAATTATAAATCTTTTATTTTAATAATAAATCTCATGATATTACTTTATCAAATTTTAATCTAAATCACTGCCAAATTACTTACACTTTTTGGGGTTTGATTTATACCATCCTTGTAATTTTTCTTAATTTCCTTAACACCATACGATAAAAATCCTCCCATTTTGTTAAACAATTGCTTACCAGGCATAGCAGGTCTGAAAATGTAAAAATTAGATACAAATTCTATTTCTTTAACCCATTAAAATCCTTACTTTATATGAAGCAGGTGCTTTTATTCAAAAAATTCTGTGCATTCAAAAAAATTAAAGTAAATTGAAAAATTTTAAACATTTTATATACTAATAGTAACATATTACACACATGCACACACACACATACAAACACACACTGACATTATTTTGGGTTAATTTGTAGATTTAGTTTAACAAAATTAGGAGAAACTCTTAAACTATAAGTTGAAAGAAAGGAATTTTTCAACAAATGCCACATTAAAAGAAAATGTCTTTTATGAGCCCTTGTTTGTAAATAAACAAAATACTTTCTTCAAATGAAGGTTCTTTTTTAGCCAATGTAAAAAGAAAAACTCATAAAATCATCAATTTAATTGTGGGTTTGTATAGCTTAGAATAGATTGTAATATGTGAATGTGAAAACAAAAATAAAAATTCTCATTAATCAAAAAAATAGTTGTCAAATTTATAATTTGAGAACTATTTTTTTGATTTTATAATGAGAAATTTTTGATTTTACAGAGTCGATGTTTATATACTGTAACTTAATAATGATAAATAAACTTGAACTCATTTGAGTTAAATGCACAAATAAGTTATATAACACATATAATATTAAACAAAGGAAGAGTTAACAGTATTGATAGCTATTATGATTTATTGAAAAATCTGCTTAACATTGATACTAATGATGAATATAATAAAATTTAATAATATAATAAAATTTCAGAATTTCTGTTTAATTATACTTTGTTCCTTACAATTATAATTGCTATAAATGAAATCCTTGCTTTTTAACAATCAAAACAAAGTGTAACTATATGTTTTGATCAGTAGCACACAGTTTTTAATGCTGTAACTCATTATCTTTAGATATCAGATAAATTTTATTCCAAACTTTTTATATTTATGCAAATCTATTACTCAAGGCAGTGGTAGTCAACCTGTTCCCAACCGCCTATCAGAAAGAGATTTTTTGGAATATCTGTAGGAATATTTGACGGTATTGAAAAATACTTAATGTTTTTATTGTTTACAATAACAATTTTCCTTAAAAAAACAACAACATTAAAAATGGTTGCTTTCATAAACCTGCTTATACAACGAATATGTTGAAATGAGATAATTAGACACAAAGTTTAAAAGCTCTTAACAAAAGCCACTAAACCAAAAAAATTAAAAGTATTTGCAGTTAAGTACACTTAAAAATTTTAATCATAGTATATTGGTGTTAGCAAAAAAACACTACATAAATCTTTTTTTAACATAAACTTACTTTTTCCAACGTTGTTCTATAGGCAGGTTTGGCGCTTAACCATCCATATAATTGCAGTAGTGACGAGAACAACAATATATTAATGAAAAGCATCTTGGTTATTTAAAAAATGTTTTAATACCAAATCACTGGTATAGAGAAAATATCCAAAATTCAAACTATATTAACATTTTCATTTTATAGAATAATTGAGAAAACTTTATAAAATGTCTCAAAAAAAGAAATATGTTTGTGGCTATTCATTGGAGTATTTGATGTTGGGTTTCATAGAAAGCATCATATAAACAAAACTCAATGTGTTTAATATGTAATAAAACAATAGCAGTGAGGCAATGAAGCTAAATATTAAGCAAGAACATCTGTCTATAAAATATTAAAAATTGTAAGGACAAGCTAATTTAATAATTACAGAGTTACATTGAAAATTCCTAAATTGGTCAACAATTACTTTTGCAAACAGAAGTTTGATGGCTGTCAAAGGGTACATGTAATAACCATTTTGTAGCATTATGATAGTATCATACAACTTTTTGAATCTAACAATCAAATCATACTCTGCCAATATTTAACAATTGTCTAAAGAGATGCTTTTTGTTAGGCAGATATTTTCAAGAGATTTAATGATATTAATTAATTCCAAAGTACTAATAAAACTTTTATAAGTTGCTAAAGCTTCATTATTTATTGACAAGATTGAACTTTTTTGTCATAATCTATTAAATAGAGAACTTTATTTCCTGAACTATCATCTATAAAAGATGATGTAACTCTAGAGGATATTGAAAAATTTAGTAGCCACCCTAATGAACTTGAAAATTAAAATAATAAAAATTAAATTATGAAAATTAAATCTGACATGAAAACCCTAATGAAAATTAAATTTGACATGAAAAAACGCTTTGAAGATATTTTGAACTTAAAGGTGTACTACTGTACGAAAAAATCATTTATAGCAAATGTTAAGGAAGCTGATGTGTCAAGAAGAACTCAAGAAGAAGAAGAACTCAAGAAGAAGAAGAACTCATAAAAATTATGATAAAGTAAACAGAATTTCAATAACAATTAAAATGAAAACTAATGGCAAAATAAAAAAATGCTTCTCTTGTATCTAAATATGTGGAAACAGGTATTCAATTTATTGACACCTTTCTCTACCTCAAAATCTAGTACAAGCTTTAGTGCTGCTAACCCAATTATGACCAATAAAGAAACTAAATATTTCTGAAAGACCTTTGCTTATTTCTTACAAAAATAGATATTAAATATTTAACTTGGTAACATCAGCTTCAAGGATCCCATTTATAATCTAATTAGCTATTAAATTTAATCACAATAAAAATTATTTTACTATATATTTCAAAGTTTAAAAAAATTAATATAGAAATATGTAATTTATTATTTTTCACATAAAGGACATATGATACTGTGTACATAAGATACTTTGTACCTTATGTATAAGCTTACTGTGTACATAAGGTACAAAGTACCTTATATATACTACTAATAATAATAATTTACACTAATAATAAAAACAATGTTCAGTTAATTTTTGATAATTTTAAATATGTTTAATAATTTTTAATAAGTTCAAACATGTCTAATATTTTTTTAATAAGTTTAAACATGTTTAATCTCTATATATTATTGCCGAATTTAATGGTATTAGTAATAGGAGTAGTAGTAGTAGTAGTAGTAGTAGTAGTAGTAGTAGTAGTAGTAGTAGTAGTAGTAGTAGTAGTAGTAGTAGTAGTAGTAGTAGTGTCCATTTGAGCGTGTTTGAAACGGAACTCTTGGCAGCCATTAAAACTGAGGTAGTGGCGAGAAAGAGTTGCAGCACTTTGTTTTATAAGAAAACGTGAACGAACGTGTATCCAAACATGTAACGTATGTAAACTTCAATTTAATGAATATTAAAACATACTAAAACATTTATCAAGTTTTACAGTTTGATTTTCACTTCAAAATTGCATTGAATCAAGCTCTCCTTAATTTTGATCTACAGCATTTCTTTCCATTAAAAAAAGTCATATAGTTTTAAGAAGTTCCTTTAAACAACGTGCCAGCGTGGCCGAGTGAATAGCGCACTGAGCTTCTGAACAGGTAAGCCGTGGTTCGAGTCCTACCACTGGTAACTTTTTTTTTAAATTTTTTTCGATTTTTTTAAAATACAAAATACTTTTGAAGTTTTATAGAGATTATATACAAACATTTGTAATGATATTTTACACTTTAACAAACGAAAAGATTTTAAAAAAGCTAAAATTTCTAAAAACATCAAAACACAGGGAGGAAAAATTTAATGAAAAAGGTAATGAGTCCTAATAAGCTGCGAATGGTCTGAAAAAAAAATTGTCTGAAACTTAATAAAGAAAAAACTTTTGAAGACAGTCCTACTACTCCAGAAAGTGCTGCTGTGGAGGCAAAAATAAAAAAGTCGTAGCTAAAAAAAAATTTAAAAGTTTTTTTTGCTACATTTATTTTTTTACAATAAATATATGCTGCAGCTGTTTTTCAAAACGCCTTAATATGCTTATTACGTATTTCGAGAAAAACGCAATTAAAAAAAAATTATTAAAAAAATTAAAAATTAACTCTTTGTAAAACATTTTTTGAAACAAATAATTTTTATGAACTTTTTCAGAATTCTTTGAAAATATGTATTCAATAATGTTTATAGACATCTAAACTAGCTTATTTTGTAAAAAAGTCAAATTTGATATTTTTTACCCTAAGGCATTTTGAAAAACGGCTGCAGTATGGATGATACAACAAATATGTTGAAATGAGATAATTTGATGCAAAATTTAAAAGCTCTTTACAAAAGCCACTAAATCAAAAAAATTAAAAGTAATTGCAGTTCAGTGCACTTAAAAATCTTAATATAGTTTGTTGGTGTTTGCAATGAAACATTATATAAATCGTTTTTTAATTTTAATATAAACTAATTTTTTTTTAAACTTTGTTGTGCTTAACCATCCCTATATAAACAATGTATATATAAACAAATATGTTATTTGTTTATATATATTGTTTATAAAATGTAAAATTTCTACTTATATAACATTTTATTCAAGATCATATGTAATATAAGTAAACTTTACTAATAATTATAAGTCTTTTTTGCTCAAGCTGTTTTGTTTTGATATTTTGTAATGTTATTATATTTAAAAAAATTGACAAGATTGAAAAAACACAAAACATATTGTCACATGCAAGTAGAAAATTTGAAACTTTAACTTTAGATTTGCCCCTCTCTCTATAATTTCTGATTGCTAAAATTACATCATTTGCTTCTTGGAACCTTTTAAAACGATAGTCATAGAAATAAGATTTTATTTCAATTTTTTGTAAAAAAATCTTTCTATTAAAGGTATATGAAATATATTTTTATGGGATATATTATTATTTTTATGGGATATATATATAGATATATTTTTATAGGAAAAAAGAAACTTGATGCATAAAGGTTTATTTTGCCACAAACTGATGTCAATGCACAAAATCTCTTTGGCTTAACTTTTAGATGAGTGTTTAACATTATTCTTTAGTTCTTAATCATTATCATAAGAATGATTTTTTTTTAATGATTGTTTTAGTGCTCTAAGATCTTCTTAGTTCCATTTGTACAGCATTATGTACAACGCCTGTAAGTGTAAACATCTTTAGCATATGTTGAGTTTACAGGCATTATATGGAATAATCGCGTATATCTATAAAATATATATCTATAAAATGAGAAAACTTTCAAATTTTACTTTGAATACTTTTTTATTTTATATATTATCTTATATATTTATAAAATGAGAAAACTTTCAAATTTTATTTTAAATTTTAGAAATTTTTTTTGCTATATTATATAAATATATAAACAAGATTGAAAAAATTTCAAAATTTATTACGCTAAGAGGAGGTCTTAAACCCTCCAAAACAACACTGATGACAGCGCACTTAACCACTGAGCTATCAATGAAATGCATTTACCAAAAAAACAAACCTAATTATAAGTCTCTTATAAGCTCTACGTATGTGGAAAAGGTGTGCATGTTAAGTTTTTTGCTCTTAAAGTTTTTTTCAGAATAAATTATTTTACTAAAAAATATTGAAGTAAATAAGGAATAGGTATATAAATAATCGGTGAGGAATATATATGTAAATTGGTAAAGACCTGTATTTTACAATTCCGGAAAGCTAGGATATTTAAGGAAAAAAGTTCGGTTTGGAATAGATTTACAAAGACCCATATTTTTACGGGTCCCACTCAGCTAGTATTTTTTAATAAGTTTAAACATGTTTAATAATTTTTAAGTTTAAGCATGAATACTTTAAACTACTAATCTATCATAATTTTTTAAATGCAAACATATAGTAGCATTTTTTTTGGAACAATAGTTTCAATAAAAAAAATTTTTTTAAAGTTAATTTTAAAATAAAAAATGCTTTCTGGAAATAAAACATTTTCATATACGAAAAAAACAGAGATGCATTTTAACAGCAAAGATGGAACTATGAAGCAAAGCAACCAGTGTTTTACATGTAATAATAAATATTGTCAAAACTTTTGTGGTACCCTAACTGACTACACTGGAAAGCAAACCACTACAAAGTACATGTGACCATATAACACTAAGATTCCATCAAATTCAAAATGATATTCTAGGAAAGAAAAAATTGTGATCTGGTAACTTTTCATTTCATGGACATACACAAACCTATGTATGTTTATAATTTCTGATCCAGTTTTTTCCTTCAATAGAAAAAAACTGTTTCACCAATAAAAAAATTTCCTACTGGTGTTGTTGATTTTTTTTATTAGCAAAAACTATGTTTTAAAACATAAATAAACCCAATTCTTAATTTTTAAATTTAAAACAAACTAACAAATAGATTTTTAAGCAATAAATTTCTCCACAAGCAATTAGAAGAAATAAAGGGATCTCAAAGGGATCGACAAGTTGTGTTCACACTAAAGAGAATATCTTAAAAAAATGTTTGGGTTGAACTTTTTTGATTAAAATAAAATAATAAACTTATACTTACTTATACTAACTAACTTATATGTGGTAGTGGTGTAGTGGTAAAGCGCTCGCTTAATAAGCGGGAGGTTCTGAGTTTGATCCCCACCACATCCTTAGTAGTACCACGCTCAACTTGCTTCTCCGTGCAGCAGCCTTGTTTGTCAAGGTTCATGTTTCGAAGTTATAGAGTTGAAAGAGGGTTATAACCACAAATAAGTAGCCTCCTTGCCTGTAGTGGCCTTCACAGGAGGTGAATTTACAAAAAAAAAAACTTATACTAACTAACTTATACTAACTTTTAGTAGTTTTAGTCAAAGCAATTTTTATTTTAGCCAGAATTTTAGGTCTTTAAAATATACTTTTTCTGAAGCAATTTACAGACTTTATAATTTATTCAAAAGCGTTTAATTCTAAAGAGTTTTGTTATATGATGTATTTGGATAAGAAATCTAGAAATTCTTTATAAATTTTTTTTCTTAATAAATTACTAAACAAACAATTTAGTTTATTTTTTAATTTTGCAAAATTTGCATTAAAAATATGAATAAAATTTAAATGTTTTAAAAAAAAAAACTTTCATGTCTGATTGAATTTAGGATACTATAAAGGAGGAGCAACATTTAGCATAGAGACAAAAACAACAGTCCAAAAACCATCGCAAAGAAAATCAAAAAGACAACTTTTTATGTAATTAGAGTAATATAGAGTCTGATGTTCAAGAAGTAAAAGATAAAAGTTTTAGTGAGATGTTTTAGCATTATTTAAAACATTATCTATCTTTTAGTGAGATCATAGCATTATTTAAAACATTAATTTTGACTAAACCTTTTCAGTAAAGGACTGTAGAGTTCAATCACATATTGACTTGTAGTTAATCTCTTTCACAGTAAACTTTTGCTGCTTGATAGTCAGACAAGGGGTGCAGAGTAGCCTGTTTACCTGAAACTTTTTTCAGACATATGAAGGTCATTTAAATCAATTTGTTGACAAAAATTTTGTGAACACTTAAAAATAAAACCAAATATCTCTCTTATGGTTTTTTTTTAAGCACAAAAAACACAAACTTCTTGCATTATTCATTTATTTAGCATTTATAAGAAACAAAGTTTCAGGAGAAGCCAGAAACTAATATTTAAAGCTTCAAACTAAATTTAAAAAACTTGAATTTCATTAAAAAACAAATCAATTTTTTTGTCCACAGAAATGCAGTTTAATTTAAGAACTAATATCTATATTTGCAGTATTGTAACCTAAAGTGTTTTTAGTTAGATAGATGTTTCAAATTAATTTTTATTTTGTGACACTGTTGTGTGTTTTAGTAAGATTACATAATTTAATAAACAATAAAAAATAGCCTCATTATTTAAAGATGTAAAAAAGCAATAACAAAAATAAAATTAGGACACTATTATTTCAAGTACATTGACCAAACTTATTAGGTGCCTCCATGGTCACCAATATCTAACACATGTTAGAAAAATCAAAATAACATGATTATAAAGAATTTTAAAAAGTGACAAAACAATTTGTAATTTTTGGGTGTTAAACTACCATTCAAAATCTCATATACTCATAAAACTTACATACTATCTCCACTCTGATAACAACTTCGCTCTGTTTTAGCTGCGAAATCTACTTCTTGCTCAATTTTCCTTTTTAAAGCTTCTTCTAATGACTCTGAAACCTAATAAATTATATATTACAATATTAACTAATAAATCTTATTTTAGTTCTTTCACATCTATGTTGATCTATGTTAACAAACTAAATATGTATATTATATACAATATATATATATATATATATATATATATATATATATATATATATATATATATATATATATATATATATATATATATATATATATATATATATATATATATATATATATATATATATATATATATATTAGGGTTATAACAAAAAAAAATTTTTATGAAACCACTTGCAATCAAGGAAACTTAATGTGTAATTCAAGAATATAAATTGCATTTTTGATGTTTTTTAAAAAAGTTCCTCCACTCACACAGGAAAAGAAAAATGAAAAAATGTTTTTTTTCAAAAAAGGACTTGTTTTTTAGCTTTATCCAAAATAATAAAAGTAATAGCTTATCTAAGCAACTTTTATGAACAAATAAGATAAAGAACATTAGTAATATGTACAAAATATACATGAAATGTTTAAAACTTATTTTTTTCAAGGAACTTCAAATTCAAAAACTCAAATTTTCTTGGTTCTTCATGAAGTTCCTCCATCAGTTTTACCACACCTTCAGCAATTTGGTTAGATCTGGGAATATCAAAATAGTTCATTGATGGATGCTTCATTGTAGTGTTGCAAATGGAACCAAGCATTTGCCCATTCATAGCAGATGAAGTCGCATGCTTGAACAAGGGTGGTGCGCCACTCTGGCATCAGGAATAATGCTATAACACCATATATTGCACATGAGTACCATCTTACTTGGTGTACATTTGGGAGTTTCTTCTAGTTTATTCAAGGCCAGCGTGAAGTTGTTTTGTAATGACGATACGCTCGACATAGTTCATATAAGAACTTGAAATCATCTCGCCATGCAGGGTTTTTGCCTGTGTTAACATCATCTGTCGCATATAGGCGGTAATCATCCTGAAGAGAAACATAATTCTCTGTTAACTTATCAATGAAGAAATAATTGAGTTCTGGTTTGGCTCTTGAATAAAAAAATTCATAACATGTTTCAGAAGGAGGTCGAGAATATGGTGCTGACAGCCAATATATTGTGGTTTCTGAAAACCCTTGCTCAAAACATCATCTTGTATTAGCTTTACAATCCCATGCAGACGACCAGTATTTATACTGCAGTCGTGTCACAGATTATCATGCAAATATTTTCCCAAGCATTGTATTCATCAATTAGCTGATGTAGTTCCTTGTGAATGGCCATAGCAGAACCACTCTCACATTTAAGAATACCGAGTTTGATTTCGGTAGTCATATTTTTCAGCAGAACTACTTGGTATTCTTCCCCATGCACTCTTTTACCATCAAACTGGAGACAATATGGATCTTTGCCCTTAAGTTTTTGAGCAATTTTGGTTTTCATTTTCTGTCCTTCAGAGATTACTCTTTTCCAGACACCCGCCTGACTTGGAACCGGCACATCGTGGCCTTGTTTAGCAATGAACGTCATGTGCTTTTTGTGTAGAAATGTTGTTTTTCAATACTAGTAAACCAGCTGCTGTAGTGCTGGCTCTTTGGTATTTCGGGTTGCATTCAGGAGATGACATAGAAGAAGAGGTTTGCGAATCGGGTGAGAAAACAGAAGTTTCAGAATCCGAAGAATCTGAGACAGTTTTATATGATTGTGTGGGATGCAATTGAGAAGAGCTGGCTTGGGATTGATTTTTGATAGTCGGATTCGTTTTCTTGGGTGGATTGATTCCAGAGGAGCTTGTTTGACCATTGAATAACCAATCTTTCCTCCACTCTCAACTTGCCTCTGGTAGAGCTTTTTATCTTCCGTGTTTTTCCATTCTCCATTAACGTTGGTGACACCAAATAACTAAGAAAGTGTTGCAGTGAATTTATCAGATGGTTTCTTTTTGTTAATGTTAAACAAATCAATTAGACTGTTGAGCTTCTTTCTTATGAGTGCGCTGGATAACAGTGGAAAGTCTAGAATTTCCTCCCAAAGCTTTTTTATATCTGTAATCATAATCTTGATTCGATCCAGTTGCCGTTTCTTGCTATTGAACAAAAAAGTGAAGTTTCCAAGAACTTGACGGCTTGTCGGCATCTGCGTGAGATTGGTTAGTTTTTCAACAGATGGAATCTTTGGATTTCTTTTATTTTTAGAATAGGGTAGATTTTTATATCCAGATACACCTGATTGATTCTATACTATTTCTGGAATATCTATAAGACATTTTATTGAAGTGACAAAATGTCTTTTCTGGATGACTTGCAATCTTGTACTGAAAACGAGGTAATTAATCTACAATATTCCAAAATGTTATAAAATACTCCAGAATATATATATTTTATATTTTCACCTGAAAAAGAAAATAAAATATATCAATAATAAAATAATTATTTTTACTAAACTTGCCCTATGTTGGAGCGAGTTTCCACTGTTTAAGCTAGGATCAATAAAAATAAAAAAGTTAACAACCATCTGTAAATGTTTTTTTCTTATAAACAAATAGAAACAGACAGTTGACAGAAATGTGCTTAAAAGCAGCCTAGAACATTACATAAAAAGTCAGTGTGAAATTTAAATTGTTAAACAAATGAGGTATTTTAATGAGCCGGAAAACTTTTTAAAAACGTCATATGATGGATAAATATAATTGATTGATTAATAACGGAATAATGGCTTTGTTTTTTGTTTTTTTTGAGAGCATAGATATAATATATACAGATCAGTGATTGAGAGGTTATAGTTATGTAAACAAATAGGCTCAAAGTAATCGAAAAGCATCTCTTATCCATCACGTGATCGTTGATCATTATGGTATTGTTTATTCGTGAAATTACCTCATTGAGCGATATAAGAAAAAATAAAAATTGAAAGGTGGGGGAACTTTTTTCAATTTAAAAAAAAATTAACGTTGCTACTGTCATCTGCTTATAATTGTTCCTAGAATGTGATAGGTTTCAGTTTCATTACAAAACAAAAATGAAAATAGTTATTACCCTAATATATATATTTATATATATTTATATATATATATATATATATATGTATATATATATATATATATATATATATATATATATATATATATATATATATATATATATATATATATATATATATATATATATATATATATATATATATATATATATATATATATATACAGGGCTCAATTTAATGGTCGGACATTGCTGCCCCTCAGACCATTCTTGAGACCTGTTAGAGGAGGGCAACAAACCATTTTTTTCAGTAAAAACTAACAATGGTTGGTTGCCCCCATAAATCAAATCTCAAAAACAGTCCGGGGGCAGCGATGTCTGACCATTAAATTGAGCCTTGATATTCATATATATATATATATATATATATATATATATATATATATATATATATATACATATATATATATATATATATATATATATATATGTATAGATATTCATATATATATATATATATATATATATATATATATATATATATATATATATATATATATATATATATATATATATATATATATATATACAAAGGCTATTCTAGACCATTTTTGACAGCGTCGACCGTATTTGGGCGCTGTTTAAATTAAAATTTAAAAACTTTTTTTTTTTTAAACGTTGCAAAGCTTTGAAATTTCGAATTGAATCGAATCAAAAAAATGATTCAAGATTCGATTCGAAAATTTTCAAAATTCGAATCCTTACTTATTTTGTTTTTGTTGTGGGTATTTTAGATATTCTGCGTTTTGGCGCTATTGAAATAACATTACTTATCCTTAAATACTTTTTTAATCAGTCATTCAAAAGGTTGACCAGGGCAAAAAGTATCAATAAAGAGATTAAACAATTTTTTAATTTTATTTTATTTTGAAATATGTTAATACATATTAAATAAAAAATGCCTAAATTTAGACTTCAAAATTTCGATTCGAAACGTGATTCGAATCGCTAACTGCTGATTTGCAGGGCCCTAATATATATATATATATATATATATATATATATATATATATATATATATATGTATATGTGTATATGTATATGTATATGTATATATATATACCCTTATAGTGTAGTCGAAAGAGCGTTTTAATGTAAAAAAAGTCTCTTACGACTACAATTTTAATTACCTCGTCTCTTAAGCTGTTTTTGATTGTCATCGAAATGTCAAAGCAATTAATTTATGCGGAAGTACATTAAATTTAATTGTTTTTTAAAAAAATTTTAAAAAACCGCAATTATAACAACTAGAAAGTTTTTTTTAATTAGTGGTGTTTTTGTTATTGATTTAATAAAAAACATTTTGTAAACATGCGTAAATGTTGCTACATCGACTATCTTATAGCCTGATTCGCAACGGAGTGCTGCTACATCGACTGACAAATAGCCTGACTCGCAACGGAGTGCTGCTACATCGACTGACAAATAGCCTAACTCGCAACGGAGTGCTGCTACATTGACTGACAAATAGCCTGACTCGCAAGAGAATGCTGCTACATCGACTGACAAATAGCCTGACTCGCAAGGGAGTGCTGCTACAACGACTGACAAATAGCCTGACTCGCAAGAGAGTGCTGCTACATCGACTGAGGGTTTGGTTTGGCCAGGCAGTCTATCAATTAAAAAAAAAAATTTAAATTTTAAAACTTTTTCTGGTCTGGTTTATTAACGCGCTCTTTAAAACTACAGTTTATGGGAAATATTTTTTGATGCCACGCAAGAGACATGCAAGAGTATATATATATATATATATATATATATATATATATATATATATATATATATATATATATATATATATATATATATATATATATATATATATATATATCAGCCCTCGAAATTAATTTTAAGATTTCGTCCTAAAAAATCAGAGATTTCCTTCAGAGCATTAAAAAAAAAATTCAAAACCTAAATTTTTTGTTGTTTTATAGAATAAACATTCTTTTGCAACTGCCGCAAACAACATAAATCGGTCATAAACAATCTAAAAACATAACAATAAAAGAAAAAAGTTTATTCAACCTCAAATTCATCCATATACTTTTGAATATCTTCAAACAAGGTGTTCATATACGGTTCTAAATCTTTCAATATCTTTAAGAAAACACAATTAAACAAAAGTTAATAAGAAAAATATTAATAATCTTTCAATAAAAAATAATTTTTTAATAACAATTTTTGATGATTTATTATGACATTTATTTTTAAATATACAACAATTATAATAATTGAAGAGTTATACAACAACTCATACTTGAGAACAATAGTTAAAAAATGAAAACTCAGCAAACATATGCTCCAAAATCTTTCGAAGAAGGATCACCTAGAAAAAAAAGTTTTTCTTTCAAAGATTCTTTTAATTCAAAACTTATTTAATTTTTAGCAAAAAATAAAAAGTTGGTACTTTTTTGTATTTGTTATTTTTCCTCACTATTTCAATATAATCAGCAAGTAATAATTGATATTTTTGTCTCGCTGTTATCATACTTTGAGCATAACGATCAAGTTGCAATGGCTGAAAAACCAATAAAAAAATGAACTAAAAATAAATTCTAATAACTAAAATTTTTTTTTTATGTTAATATGTAAAAAAAACTCTAAAAATAAGAAAATATAAGTCTATATTTCAAACTCAATAAATGAATACACACACAAATAAAAAATGGTGATGAACCTGATCCAAAAGAATGAATGAAAAATTCTATTGTTTTTTTGGAACTCAAAGATAGCAGATTCCAGGGTATAAATTGTTGACTTATTGAAATCCAGACAATTACTAGTCTTAGAAAATTAACTTTTTTAACAAAAATATGAACCAGTTGAAAAAAGCACAATATATTTTAACTAAAGCAGGGATATACTCTCATGGTTGTCCGGTAGCACAGGATGATTCATTTTTTCAGAGGCAATTGAAATAAATAAAAAATGCCTATCAGTAGCCCGGCAAGACGAACAGACAGTTTGTTACTTACAAAAGTGTGTTTGTTAATAAAACTTTTATTTTTATCTATAAAGATTTTATTACTTGTGATTATTTAAAAGAAAACTTTAAAAAGCATTTAAAGTAGTATACACTTTGTTTAACAATAAGTACACTATGGTAAATTTACCAAACTTAATAAAGAGAAGCCAACATGCAATTTAATAATTTGAAGTGCGACTGTACTGTTTTTTTAAATATTGTTGTTGCATTTTGAAGCACGCTTATTCTCAATTTAAAATGAGTTTTAAAATTACATTTTCTTTTATTTCCAAATGCTATTGCATAATTGTTTAAACTTTACAGTCTCATTTTGAATCAGGTGAGTGATTTAAAATGAGACTATAAATGAAAATAAAATGAGTACTTGAATCATTAATAACACTGAATCTCTTTTGTTTTTAATCAGTATAATAAATATTTTTAAAACATTAAAAACATAATGTTTTCAACATTCAACTAAATTAAATTTGATTGAAGATTGAGATTGAATAATAGAATATTTTTCTATTTATAAAACGTTTCTTTGCAGTTTTGGCTTACAACTTTTTCGCTTCACGTAATGAAACTTTTGTTAAGATTGACAAAAAAAAAAAAACAATATGAAACAGATATCGACTACGACAAAAATGGTGATCTTTAATTAACTTACTTTTAAATAAACCATTTCTTATTAATCAAAAAAAAATTTTCTAGACCAGATCAAGAGTAATTATAGAAAAAAACAGATCAATTGGCCAGCTTAACAGCTTATTTAAAGAAACCACTCTGCCCTTGTAGAGGTCATGCAAAAATTTTAATTTCAAAATTTTTAATTTAGGATACAATTTTCGACGTTGATTCCAAAACTTCAGATTTTTTGTAGCAACAATATAGTTTGTTGTAAAAAATGAATTATATAATTATACAGTTTAAAAAAAAAAATTGTTTATGTTATGATTGGGTAAAAATATTGTCATAATCTTTCATCTAGTCATAGTATATATACCAGTTTAACTGGATTTTTTAGATAATTCTTAGTTTATGTGAAGTTTTTTACTAATATAATATAAGGAACATAAGCTAAAACAAATATCTCATTATTGTCTTATAATAATAATTGTAGTATTATTTACAGTTTTTATGATAAAAGCATATATGTAAACACACAGATTTCACACAGATTCACATAAATATATGATAAAAATGTAAACACACAGATTTTATGATAAAAATATGTAAACACACAGATTTAACATTATTATATAGGCAAAGTATTTTTTTCAACATTTTATGGAATTGTCTAATGTACTTTGTAGATTAAAATGTTCATTTTTTTATTTCAGAATTTTTTCTTTTATGTTATTGTACTTCTAAAAACATGTGAACTGTAGTGCTGCTGTTACTTTGTTTCAACTGTAATGCTGGTGTTAGTTTAGTGTTACTTTGGTGTTACTTTGGCGTTACTTTGGTGTTACTTTGTTTCAAACCAATTGCTTAGATCAATCAGCATGCCTCAAGATTGATCACTCTGACAAATTTTGTATGTATATGTATATGACATGTTAACAACTATGCTAACTACAACAATGAACTATTACACCCAGCATCAAGAAAAGATACAACCTTTACTTTGGTTGCCACCTAGGTGATCAAAATAAACCATGGGCAGAATATGGGATTGGATGAACAAAAATCTTTAATATCATTTGCCATACCCATGATAACGAGGGATTATCATGCAGTTTGTTATTTTTGCTCATTTCAATTCCTCCAGACGATGGTATAGACGTCATTGAAGATGAAGCGAATAGTAATAAAAGTGCTACTTGTGGCATTTCTGAACCGTCTGCAGATCTCTATTACATTGGAAAGTAGAAATTTTAAACCAAAGCAATGAAAATTGAATGTTTTTTGAGAGTGACAATTTAATGATTTTAGACAGATATGTCTAAAATCATTCAATTGAATGATTTTAGGCAGATAATGATAGAGATCTATCATTGTCTAAAGAAAAAGCATTTTGCATCAAGACTGCAGGAGAACAATTTACTTGACAAAAACATTTGTACTAGTTACTACCAAAAGCAGGTTATCAACTTACTTTACAGTAGATGGTCCTTTCTTTTATTGCCATGATATACATGGACTATTCACAGAATTATCTCAGACATATGCGGCATCTGACTGGAGTCGCATTTTGTTAAAGCAGAAGGTAAAGTTCACAAGGGTTTCGATACCTTTTTCCAAAATTTTCAAAAGTTAGTGCAGCAAAATTGAAGGCTGGAATTTTTGTTGGGCCACAAATCCGGGAGCTTTTAAAAGAACTAAAAAGGCCCTCAGTTCACTAGAATTAGAAGCTTTGGCTGAATTTAAAAAATAGATATAGGTAAACTTTCTTTGGGATAACAAGTCCCATACATTTAAGGATGGAGTTACAAAACTAATTGATGCTTATAAAGATTGTCGAATGCTTTTGAAATAAACAATGACAAATAAATTGCAATTTCTTTTTAATATTTAAAAACTTTTTTTTCACTAAAATGATTATAAATCCTTTTTAAATTGATTTTTTCAAATTTTTTTTTGTTCCTTTACAGATCGATTGTAAAAAAATTAATTTTTTACTTTTTCTCTATGCAACATAGTTTTCAAGTTTACCTCAGAAAACACCAGACAGATAACCGTTATATTTTTATTTATTTATTTAGAGGTATTTGAAGAGAATTTTTAAAAATTGTTGTTTTTCAGCCCACTTAAATAAGTATGTTACTTTTTCTAAATAAATGTTTTGTATAAAATGTGATTTATTAAAAATTTTCATATAACTACATACATTTTCATAATACACAAAAATGTAAATAATTAGAAACTAAACGTGCAAGAACAAAACAGTAACAATTTATTTGGATTCAGCATCAAACATACATTTAGAAAAGCTTATTTTTGTTTGTGATGAGAGAGAAAAAAGATTAATTTTGTTGATCTGTGCTATAGGCCTCTAGTTTTGAACTACAGTCTCGCTAGTTTCTGCAAAAGTAATAAAAGCAATCATTCAAGTGGTTACCGTGTAACTACAGGTGTTATACTTTATATTACAGGTATCATCTTGCATACACAACATAGATGTTTTTAAACAAGCATGTATAACTGAGACCATTTAAAATAATTACTGCAGCTTTACATAAAAGATACGCTGTTTATATCATTTTTACAGAATTTGAAAAAAAGCTTTGATTCAGTGTCTTGCAGAGGACCATTCATAGTTAGCTTATTGCATGGATTGATGGATAAATGAAAGGCAACATTAGGACTAAATAAAACCAACACAGAAGTATGAAAATTGCTATATAGAACATATATAAGACCACATCTGAAACTTACAATCATGGTCATCATATTCTTATCATTCTAAGAGGAAGGAGGATCAGAGGTGATATGTTACAATATTTAAAAATAGTACCTGGGGCTAATGTCATTAACTAGCATAACCCATCAAAAGTTGTTTTCCTCTCTTTCATGCCATAGACAGCAGGTGGTACTTGTGGTCATTTTATAGAATAAAATCTCAACTGGTCCAACATTGTGAACAGATATGCAATTTTTTTCACCATTTACATAGCCAAGTACTAGCAAAGTTATTGATGTTCTGGGAACAAGTTTTAAAGCACAACATGACCAATATGTTATTATGAAAAGAAATACTACAGCATCGTTCACAACGTTACAGCATTTTTTGTTTTTGTAGTTTTTGCTTATCTTGGTTTATTTCTTTCTCTGAATAAATAAAATTGTTTTTGTTAACTTAAATTTTTTTTACCCATTCCAGGTCTCAAATTAAGCGTATCATGATTGCTTTTCACACCTTTGTGAAATTTAGTTTTTTCTTAAAAAAAGTATTTTCCTGATTAGATTGTTTTTTTATTTTTATTTACTTAGGACCGGAACTTACTTCATTAACATATATTCTCTCATGGTACAAAGCAAAAAGACCATTTTTGTTTTCTTTTTTACCTAAAACATGCTAACAGTGCAGATAATAATTTTAGTACATAACAAAAAGACTGTATGTGCTTAATTATGATTAAATAAAAAATTTAATTAATCATTAAAACCTCAGGAAAGCTCTTTTTTTAAAGTGTTTTAAAAGTTTCTGACATGTTCTAAGCTAACTGGTTGGCTAAATATGTTTTTTATTTTTTAAGAATATCTCAGAATGGAAATTTTGGAGTTACTGTCTATTTTATAAGTACGGCACTATAAGCTAACTAAAAACTATTTTAACAAGATTTCTTGAATAGAATATAAAAATGCGATACCATTTTTTTAAATTTTATTTAAAGGGATAAATATTGACACAGTGATGTGTCACATATATATGGCATAATGATGTATCACATATATGGCACAGTGATGAGTCACATCACTGTGTCAATATATATGTGACACATCACTGTGTCTACAGATGTGTCTAAAAATAAAATTTTCTGTTTAAATATTTAAAGATCAAACATTTTCTAAGGAAATAAGGAAATAAGGAAATATAATTTGATTTATTAAACCAATTTTTTATTTCACTTTTTATTGCAAACCAATTTGAATGAAAAAATTGAATGAAAACATCAATTTAAAAACCGTTTGAATGAAAAACTTAATTATACTTAAATTTTTAATAGTACACTAGATCAAGAAAAAGTAAATTATAAAAAAACGTAGTATTTAATGTTTTCTTGCTTTGATCTTACTCATTTGGTCTATAGACTCGTATAGGCATGATTTCGCACAAATATATAAGTTTTATGATGATAATGTTTTAATTTATCAATTAGAACAATTCTATTTATTTATTTTGTTTTATTTTAAACTCGTTTTATTTTATTAAGGTTATAAACTGTATAAAACAGCAATAAAACAGCATCACAAAGTTGTTTTACATTAACACAAGCTCTTTATATTTTTAAAACAACTTTGCAGTTTGTTTTGTTGTTGTTTTATAGCTTTTTACAATAACAAATAAATACTTTTTAAAAATAACACATGTTTTATCGTCAGCATGAACGTATTAAATAGTATTCGTTAACTAATTAAAGTGGTTTAAATATTATAATGTTTGCATTTTTACTCTTTATTATTATCTTTTTTTACTTTTATTTTTATAAGTATCATATTAATTAAAAACACTTACTAAAAGTAATAACTTAATAGTATTAAATAGGTTACTTGCTCATTACACTATAACTGTAATTATAACAGTAACTTACACTATTTTTAACTCCGTCAAACAAGAAAATTATAAGATAATATTTAAATATGAGAGATAATATGTTTAAATAATAGCAATTAAAAAATAATGTACAAAAAATACAACTTTATACTAACACACTCCCCCTCCCCCCCCCCATTATATTAAAGCCCTTGTGACATTTATACCAGATACCAGATCAAAATTACATACCAGATACCAATTATAATTTTTATTACTAAACTTCATATAAAAAATTTAAACGCTTCAGTAGTTATTACACAAACTATTTATCAGTAGTTCGGATATTAGTACTTGAAGCGGGCATTCTTAGAATACCTGCTTGAAATGTGTTGATTAATTACAATCAGTAAAAAAAGTTTAAAAAACATTTGGAATTAGACTTAAAAATATGAGAAATAATGAACTTAACATGACTCATAATATGGATCATGGTATGTTTAGTCCACACTTATTTTTTATATAGTCATTTTATTTCAGTAATTTTTTAGTAAGTGGTAGAAAATAAAAATCAGTCAAATCTTTGTTTTGAATTAACAATTAATGTTCAATACATTACAACTTTTTATTGTAAAATTGTAAACTTCTGTAAGAAAAACGAGTACAGATTTAAATTTCAAAATCTTTAACTTTAATCTTATCTTTGTTCAATAAATAGCATGTACTATTACAACATTTACTTGGTACCTAGCATTTTGTTTATTATCTTAAAGCTTTATTTAATTCATTGCATATTAACAATACTTATATCTGATTAAACTTTTGGTTATGTATTTTATTATTTTTCTTTGTTTGTTTATTCTATGCTTGCAAATTTCAAAAATACTTTCATAACAATACTTTCGTTCCAAGCTTTCAGAGACTTAGGGCAAAATTAAACTATGAAGCTCTAAAATCTAAATTTCATCTAAACAATCCCATTGCAAATATGATTGCATAGACTTTTTGATATTTAGCAAGTATTTTAGATGACCCCTAAATCATATGGTTGGGAATAAATTGTCCCATCATTGTAGCAACCTTGCTCTCATATTGTTTTGTTTCATTAATAATTAAACGATATGTTGTTTAAAAATAAAAAGCGAACTACTTTTTTATTTTTATCACAATAAAAACTTCGAAACTTTGAAAAAAAAATTTATTCCTATATTTCAACTAAATCGGCTTTTAGTTGACTTCAAAAATATATTAGTTAATTTTAGTAGACTTTAGAAAATGTATTAGTAAGTTTAGTTGACAGTCAAATTATTTAAGTCATAACAACACTATTAATAATATTTGTTGATAGAGCAACATTTTACATAAATTAGACATACATTATTATTTAACAGTTATTATATCTAATTATAATCTAATAACTGTTAAATAATTAAAAGAAAAAATTTTAACAAAATTGTTAAAAAACTGTAAACAACTTATCAAAATTTTTAAAACTCAAGAAAATATCTTAAAAAATTTCTCTGAAAACAAGAAAATACCTCTGCTAAATGAGAAATGTGAGGCAAAGCTGCAAACTTTTCCCAAGTTATATGCAAATATTCACTTGCTTTCAAAAGCTTTGATTTGCACTTCTAAAAAGAAAACTTTATTATCATTAAAATGATTTGTCAATGTTTGTAAATACGTATTTCTGAAATAATTTCTGTGACATGCGACATAAAGTGTTAAGTTTTTTTATTTTTAAATGGAGCTGAGGATAATTAAAATAAAGTTACTTATTTCTGAAATAATTTCTGTGACATATAACATAAACTGTTAACTTTTTTCATTTAAATGGGGATAAGTAAAACAAAGATAATTTAACATTTAAGAATGGTCGAACTTAAATGTATAATCTTACTTAATTTTATGTGAAATACTTAAAAAATTAAATTTATATAAACATATGCTAAAAATATAACACATATACATTGTATGATGTGTCACATATATAACACAATGATGTGTCATATAAATATGAAACAGTGAATTGTCACATGTATAACACAGTGATGTCACATATGTATAACACAGTGATGTGTCACATCACTGTGTCACACAGTAATGTGACACATGACACAGTAGTGTGTGACACATATGACACAGTAATGTCAAATATATATGACACAATGATGTCACATATATATGACACAGTGATGTGTCACATATATATGACACAGTGATGTGTCACATATATATGACACAGTGATATGTCACATATATATGACACAGTCACGTGTTACATATATATGACACATTGATGTGTCACATATATATGACACAGTGATGTGTCACATATATATGACACAGTGATGTGTCACATATATATGACACAGTGATATGTCACATATATATGACACAGTCACGTGTTACATATATATGACACATTGATGTGTCACATATATATGACACAGTGAAGTGTCACATATATATGGCACAGTAATGTATCACATATATGGCACAGTGATGTGTCACATATATATGACACAGTGATGTGTCACATATATATGACACAATGATGTGTCACATATATATGAAACAGTGATGTGTCACATATATATGACACAGTGATGTGTCACATATATATGACACAGTGATGTGTCACATATATATGGCATAATGATGTATCACATATATGGCACAGTGATGAGTCACATCACTGTGTCAATATATATGTGACACATCACTGTGTCTACAGATGTGTCTAAAAATAAAATTTTCTGTTTAAATATTTAAATTTATTAATGTATATTTGTTAACAGATTCTTTTAAATTATCAAAAAATATTTTTTTTAACAAACTTTCTTCCAACAAGACTGCAAGCCACTAACAAGAAAAACACAGCAAAAAAAAGAAACAATTCATGTCAAAGCAAAGAGGATTAAAGAAGAAGAAAACAGTTGACAGAAGACTTAAAAAAATGGTAAATGGTATGAATCAGGAAGGCATAAAGACAGAAGAAAATTCCAAAGATCAATTATTTGAAAGGAAAAAAACTAGATGAAAAAATGTTTTTTTTAGGGATAGTCACAGTAAGTAGATGCAGCAAGAGATAAAGATTGTGCAGTAACCATGGTAATATTTGTAGATAAGAAAAAGAGATGTGACCTTACAAAGATGGGACAAAGGCTCAATTTTGGCAGCTAGTGTAAATCTAACTATATATTTAAAACTTTAAGTGAAACTTTGTATGATCTTCATTACCACCACTATACCAAAAGAACCACAATTCCCTTATTTATTAAACATAAAACAAACATTAGACTAACACACTTGTCTTATTCTGATGAATTTTGCAGAAGGCTATAGTTTTTTTTTTGAGTGCAAGTTCAATGAAATTTTCAGATTTTTTAAATATTGGAACCACAAATTGCATTTTCCAGCAGACAAGAAAACAAGATTCACTTAAGCATTTGTTTAACAGTTTAGAAAAAGAAAAGTTTACTAAAGAGAGTTTTGAGTTTAATAGTTTAGAGTTTACTAAAGAGAGTTGTGGGGAGAGTTATTTTTATATCTAATTTCAATTAGATATAAAAATAACGAGTTGAATTAGAAACAAATACTGAATATGAACTAGAAATAAATCCTGATATAAATTTTAAAAAGAGAAAAATGAAAAAGGCATTCATGAATAAATCAGCCATCGCAAAAATAAGATAGCAACTAGTAAAAAAAAAGAAAAAAAAAACTTAGAGTCTTTTACAAATATGATTGACATAGATATTGATTTAGAACTTGGATTCACTTCACCAATCAAGTACAAAACTTGACATTGAATTCATCACAGCAGAATTGTGATACCTTTTGACTCTGACTGGAATGTTGTATAAACAACAAGCTGTATGAAAGTGAGAAATATTTAAAGAAAATAATAACAAAAACCTGAGTGATTTGAAGTGTAACAATAGATTAACATGTTTCTCCGAGATGAAAAAGTGTGGTCGTAAGATTCAAGAGGTAAATTAGGAAAAGATATTTTCAAATAACTTTATTTTTAGAAGAGCTAATAAAATCCATGGATGAAAGGTTAAATGTTTGACTTTGTTAATAAGATTTTCAAATTGCTACAAATATATTATTAAAAACATGTATAGAAAATTTTTATGCCAGTATATCAAGTTATCCCTATATCTTATATATAATAGTGACAGGGCCCCAGCTAAAAATAAGACTTTTAGCAAACCCAGACCTGGCCCAGCAAAATTATAAGATTTAGCAGAGGTTAATAGCCGGGGCTAGAAAGAAAAACTATAATACTTTTTGTATTATAATTTTATACTTACATTTACTATTTATTATATACTAGCATATATTTATATATTTTTAAACTCTAATTTACTTCCAACAAGATTACAAGTAACCACTATAAAGTTATGAGTTACTTTAAAATAGAGGATAGGTTAAAATACTAAAAATGGTTAACTGAAGACTTTAAAAGTTGTAGAATGTATCAAAAAGGAAAACATAAAGATGGGGAAGAGTTAAAAGGCTTTTTTGATTAGCAGGAAAAAAACTGGATTAATAAAAATTTTTATAGCATGAAGGGACATTACAGTAAAAGGATGCAACTTGTTGAATAAGAAGCTAAGTAAGAATAAGTTTTGGTTTATCATATGATGATAGCCCATTTGAGCATTGACCATGATAGTATTTGTATAAAAAAGAAAGAAATGCAACCTTACAACAGAGAGAGTGGTTCAAGAGAGAGTGGTTCAAGCTTGGCAGGCCTAACTACATTTACAAGGTGCTTTTATGTCTAATATCTAACTACATTTACAATGTGCTTTTAGACTTAGTCTGAGAGTAAGAGGGTTGTTATTCGTCAATATAAGAATACCAACAATATTGCAATATTTTTTTGCAGTAAGTAAATGAGTTTTTTTAAATAAATGAGAAAAATTGTGGATTTTAAGTCTAAAATTTAAATCTACATACCACTGTAAGCCTGTTAAGGCTGTAAGGCTGTTACAGAACCACACTAATAGAACTACACTAGACATACAGACATTAGACACACTACTAGAACCCACTGTACCACAGAAGAGAGATCAGATTAAAAATCAGCTACTTGTTCTTAAAAAGTGATCTTAAAAAAGATTTTTTGTCCAGACAAGTGTATAAAGTTTAGTCGTCAGCTAATAGAGTCACTTTAGATATAAAATTTTCATGAAGATTGTTATTGTAGATAAGAAACATTACAATGATAAATAGTTGGTTCCAAAGTGCTAAATAGTTGGTTCTAAAATTGGAACCAATTATTTAGCACTTTTTAAAAATTTAGCAAAAATTGAAGAGAGTTCTAGAGAACATTTTTTTAAGATTATGATGGAAATCTTGTGTGGAGAACAAACTGTAGAAGTGTTTAATTGATAATTAATTTTAGCATTAGTAGCCATAGTGATTTTCATGTTTAACAATAGGTTAATCTGTTTAACTGGTAGGAAGAGTGTGGTCAGATTCAAGAAATAAATTAGAGTAAGATTTCTTTGGAAAAAACTCTGCCTCATTCTGGTGAGAAGTAAGACCAGACCCATGAATTAGAGATTAAATGTAAGACTTACTTTAGTTAATGACAATGTTGAAGACTTACCAAAAGTCTGTAGAACCTAACATCTGAGATAAGAAACAAGATTTAGTAAACTTAGAATAACAGACTTTAACATCAGACAGGACCTTTTCACATTGGCATCTTGAAATAATAAAAGGGCATTGGTTTATAAGAGATTTTCTTTTAAAAAAGATGAAAAAAATGATTGAAGTTTAATAAAGCAACCGCTGAAAATGGTAAAAAATATAAAGTAAAATGAGGCTTGACTTAATATTGAAGGGAAGGAATAGAAGCTTCCAAGCTTTTATTCCTGAAGAAATAAAAGCTTATAAGATGTGCTTTATCCCTACATATTTTGGGTAAAAACATATATGTTTTCTATTTATTTAGATGCAAGCAAACAATATCCTTTCATATTTATATAAACTTTAGTATTTATATGGTGTAGTCTTTGTCAAAATAGAAGATGATCAGATGGATGTGTGGTGTGACTCAAACATGATAAGAAAAGAAGGCATAATCTTAGACAAATTAGAAAAAAATGTCTAATCGGTTAACATTTTTTATAGAAGATTAAAGTGATTTAGGTAGCAGCAGCATTTTTACATTGGCTTCTTGCAATAATAAAAGGCTCTTTGTTTATAAGAGAGATATTCTTGTAACAAAGGTGAAAAAAATGAACACTGTTTAATAGCAACTGTTCAAGATGGTGAAATATGTGGAGTAGAATGAGGCTTGACTTAAAATTGAAGAGAAGGAATAAAAGCTTCCAAACTTTTATTCCAGATGGAATAAAAGCTTTCAAGATGTGCATTTATGCATATATATTATAGATATAAACATATATGTTTGTTATTTATATAGATGCTGACATACAATATCCTTTTATATTTATAAAAACTTCAGTATTTATATGATGTAGTGTTTGCCAAAAGAGAAGATGACATGATGTGTTGTGACTCTAACAAGACAAGAAAATCATAATCTTGTACAGATTTAAAAAAATGTTGTGTCCAACAATGTTTGCTAGAGAAGATTAAATTTAATTTAGGTAATTAATTCAAGTATCAGCACGTAAAGAGGTAGCAGCTTCAGGAGAAAATGGTAGTGGTAGAAGTAAAAAAACTTGAAGAGAGTGCCTTATATATTGTATAAATGAGGTTTAGTTAAGAAAATGAAATGCTCTCGATTGTTTATATAAGAGAAACAGTATAAAAGGAAAGGCTAAATGATTATCATCATCATCATCATCATCATTATCACCATCATCATTATCATCATCATCATCATCATCATCATCATCATCATCATCATCATCATCATCATCATCATCATCATTATCATCATTATCATCATCATCATCATCATTAGGCTTTAGCCTTCCTCTTTTATGCTGTTGATGATCATGATCATAATCATGATGATAATAATGATGATCATTATCATCATAATTATGATGATTATAATGATGATTATAATAATCAGGTTGATCATAATGATGTTTGTGTATGCATATATATACAAAATATAACATGAATTTTGAATAAAAGAAATATGCTTTAGGATGCATAAATGTTTATGCAGCCCCGTCACAAACCTGGCCCCAGCCATGGCCTTGGCTATATTTTATCAAACCCGGCCCAATCAAATATCAACCCTGGTCACTTACTAATATATAATTATCCTCTATTTTATATAGAATATATAAAATAAAAAACCTAAATATAAGATAAGAATATATAAAGTATTTTAACCTTCATTTTTTCAAAATCTTTGACCATTGCCATCATAGGTTCAACACCTAACATCAATGTTTGAGTGAGCAACATATCACGATAACATTCAATGCGACTTAATGCATCTGCAAACTTGTATAAAATAAACGATATAATTCTGACTCACAAATAGAGATTATCAATTTATATATTAAAAAAGGTGCACTACAAACTTTCATTTTAAATTGTTAATAAATATAATAAACACTATAGGCCTAATAAAAGAGTTTTGGAGTATATTTGGGGTATTTACTTGTAAGCAACAACTCAATTTGTGTTTTCCCACAATACTCTTTGTTTCCTATTAGATAAGAATGAGCATATTCCTAAAAATACCATGTTTTTCAAGTTTGCTAACTATTTCTTATGGGAGGCCACATTAAAAGTCTTAGCAAAATCTAAAAACACAATATCAATTAAGGTTTCTCTAACATAACTTTTGTTATTATCTTTTATTATCTTTAGAATTATTAGAATGTAAAAATAATTCTTATTGTATACGGTAGCATAAAACCCTTTGTAATTAAATTTTTTTGAGTATTTTTTTTTTTTTTTTTTTTTGAGTGTAATAAATAATTTAGAATGTTAATTAATTAATTGGTTCACACATAACAATTAAACTATAAAATTATTTTTAATAAACCCATGTTGATGAATAAAGATCAACTACAGAAAAATCATTATTTGCTTCTTTAACAACCGTTTCTAAATTTTTGCACAGAACCAATGTTAAACTTATTGGTCTGTAATTTGCAGCTTCAAGAGTATTTTTTTTTTCGAAAAATTATTTGTTTTATGTCTTTAAATTATATGCACTTTTTCGAATGCAATCTACTGACTCTATAATTTATTATAAAACTTTTACGAGTTTTAGTATAAAAATGATGCCATAGAAGAATTTATTTTTTAAAATTTTTTTTTCAAATTAAAATAAGTAAATATTGTATATATATGTATAAATATTGTATGTATTTAAGTTTGTATACAATATTTATACATTTTTGTTTTTAAAAAAAGCGTTTCTTATTAATCATATGATTTTCCTAAAAATTTTAAAGAATGCCAAATATATGAAAAAGCCTTCCGAGAAGCAAGTGGCTTCTCGGGAAAAAGTGAGGCTGCACGCTTTGTTTGTCCACGTTTAAAGTAATTTTTTAGACAGTTTGACAACATTTTTATATAGTAAGCGTTGCGGCAAAAAAAAGTTATAAGAAACAACACAGAATATCTATATGTATATATATATATATATATATATATATATATATATATATATATGTATGTTTCATTTATATATATTTTCATATCATTTATATTTGATGCCAGTTTTAAGTCAAGTTCTTTACCTAAACAATGGCGCCAAGCTTTTGTATCTCCAGTTTTAAAAAAAGGAGCTACTGCAGATCCAAATAATTATAGACCCATCTCACTGACATGCACTTGCTGTCAAGTCATGGAAAGAATGATCAATGTGTATGTCAATAAGTATCTAGATCATCATAATTTAATATCTCTTAATCAACATGGTTTCCTCAACAAACGTTCAACCAGTACAAATCTCTTAGAATCTGCTAATGATTGGAACACCGCACTCAATGACCATCAAATAACGGATGTTGTCTATATTGATTTCTAAAAAGCGTTTGACTGTCTCGCATACCAAACTATTAGTAAAACTTACATCCTATAACATAAAAGGTAATCTTTTAAATTGGATTTCCGCTTTTCTCACCGATAGATATCAACAAGTCAAGGTCGGTGATACTATATCAAACTCTATACGCATTGTTATTGGAGTTCCACAGGGTAGTGAGTTAGGTCCCACATTGTTTTTATTATATGTTAATGATTTAACCGCTATAACTAATAATTTGGGAAAACTTTATTGTTAAACTATAATGTCCATTTCACCTAAAAAACGTATTTATTTAAAATCTTATTAAAATTTGGACAAGCAATTGTAATTTTAAGAAGATTTTTAAAAAAAAAAAAAAAGAATCTTTGGTCTGGGTTTTTTCGCTATAAACATATTTTATGATACCGCAAAATTTATCATTTTAACTTTTTTCATCTTTTCATAATTCACAAACCTGATCATTTAACAGAAATATGTCGTAGTCAACGAAATATCATACAGATGCTATAATATTTTAAAATTGCCTTAACTACACCGAGAACAGTTGATTTATAGTTAGAGTGCTAAGGAGTTTTGCTATGTTAGTAAAATGCTAAGAAGTTTTGCTGAGTTGGTAATGTGCTAAGGAGTTTTACTAAGTTAGTAAAGTGCTAAGGAGTTTGCTGCAAATAAATTTTTTTAATCTAATAAACATGTTGATTGTAAAAACATAATTTTTAATTTTGATTTTTTTTTTTTTTTTCTCTAACATTAGAAATTTCCTAGATATTGTTACCCAAATAATAATTGTTTTGATACTTTGTATAATTTACATTTAAATTTAATATCTATCTACTGTTGAAGAAGAATAAATTTTATACCTTAGCCAATGGTATCTCCATTAATAAATCATTTTTGAAAGCTTTAGATGCCGAAAACATTACATCACTAAATTTATTTCCAGCATTAAAGTGATTTATACCACTTGAATGATAATTTTCTAGTGATGTTGCCAGTTCATGAATAATATTACCCATCTAAATTCAACTTTAATATTATATTATAATTTAACACACACACAAACACACCACACATACACAGATGTATATATATATATATATATATATATATATATATATATATATATATATATATATATATATATATATATATATATATACATATATATATATATATATATATATATATATATATATATATATATATATATATATATATATATATATATATATATATATATCAGGGATGCGGAGTTCAAAAGAACTCCGGCTTTATATCTTTACTTTTTCCAAGTCTGTAGTGTCCAGAAGCTCTAAACATGTTTGTTGACTTATGATCTGCTATAAGAAAAAAATTCACCAAATTTAATGACTTGAAACTTATTGTTTTCAAACCCAGAGCCCTGGAGTCTCGGAGTCCTTGCCGCCATTATACCTAATGACTTTCGGTTCAAAAAATAATTGTACCTCTAACCTAAAAGTCTTAGTTTTTTTCCTATTAGTAGTCTATATACTTATTAATATATTTAGAGCTCCTGGATACCAAAAACTAGGATAAAGTAATCTTTCAAATCAGAAGTCTTTTTTGGGATTCTGCATCCTTGATATATACATACATCGGTCTGAGCTTATCAGACTAAAATGTGACATTAACAAATTTAAAAATTAGTAAGTTTTTAGCTGTGTTTTATGTTGTATAGTATATACATTATCAAGTACAACAAGAAATGTCACTGAAACAATTGCTAGTCTTGATTTTACAATAACTCTATCAATAGTATGCATATTGTTGTGCAGTCCTCAAAACTGCCAACATTGACATTTAAGAAATGACACTATCTAAAAGCTCAATATACTATTATGTTGACCTTGAAAAAAAGAATCCAAAAAAACAAAATCGGTTCAACCCCCCCTCCCATTTAGAAAAATGTAAAACTGGTGGATAAACACTTCTGTACTTTAATAATAAATTGCATACAATTTTTTATCAAAATACAATTAAAGCACAAAAAACATGAAATGAATTATAAAAGGCCACAATAATGCTTTGTTAAACAAAATGGAAATTCTAAATGAAAAAATTACAGAGTACTGAAACACGCTATATGCAAGTTTCTGTTTTGCACTAACAAAATGAATGAACATTTTAAAGTCGTTAATTGTCACTAGTTAATTTAACACACATTAATGGAATGTTAACTACTTTAAACAAGTGAAAATGGAAACATATTGCAAATATAAAAATGTAAAAATGAAATAAGAATAGAAAATTAGAAAATCACTATAAGAAAATTAAAACTAAAGAATGTTTTTAATTTTGTAAAAACATCAAGTAAGATTTATTTGATTTATTATTAGTAATATTTCACACATCATTTATGATAAAAAAAAATATTCATAATAGAGATTTTTTTAATTTGTTTTTGTTTATAGTGTATAGGTTTTTTATTAACTATTATTTATTTAAATAGAATTTTAAAAAATTCTGCCGTTTCAGGCTTGGACAGGAATGGCGTGCGACCAAGCGCTATTGCTGAGCACAATTGATTTTATTTCTTGACAACTTGACCACGATTGTTTATATGCTTTGATGATTTAAACATTTCAGAAATGCGCTAAATGTAGAAAAACTAACCTAAACTTAAACTAGGAAATTAGTTAAATTAGACCAATGAAAAAAAAAATCCTTACGAAAAAATAAACAAAAAAAAATTCCTAAAAAAAAGAGAAACAAAAAAAATTCTTTATGAAAAAGAAATTATATAAGCACTAAAGTAAAACTAAAAACTAAAAACTTGAAGCGAAACTTTTTGTTACATTATTAATTATGTTTGAAATAATTCGTTTTAAACGTTTTATTAAGTTATGCAAAACGCTTTTAAATTAAGTAACAAATTACTACAAACGATTGTTTAATAAGTGAACAAATTTTGTCAAAATTTACTAAAAAGTGTTGTACATAATATTTTTAAATTGTATAAACATTCATTTTTTCAAAAAAGTTACAAAAAAAATTGTTTAAAAAAATAAGTCTTTTTAAAATAGTAACTTTTAATAATTTGTAATTTATGAGTCTAGTTAGAAATGTTTTTAACTTTTTTATTCGTAAAAATAGGAAAAAAATAAATAAATAAAATGCGCCTGCGATTTAAATAAAATAAATTGCCAACAAGCAACTTAATTTAATTTTAATTTGAGCATTACAACTTTACTAATAAGCGCATCACATAACGAATTTATAAATTATTATAAATTTTATAATATAAAAGATTTGATTAATCAAAGATTAAAAAATCATTCATTCCTAAGAAAGTTTTATTTTCAAATTATTTTTATTCTAGTTAATAAGTTATAAGCTAAATCAATGATACTTATTGAATTTAATTAATTTTTATTTCTTAAAAACAATTTTTTACGTATTTGTAAAGTGCACGCATATTAATGATAATGAATACGCAATGACCTAACAATAGTAAATTATTATCAATTGATACGAATAATATAATACAACGAAAATTGAACTTTTCTCAATTTAGTCAGCTAAACTTATTTACAAATAATAAAAAATGTACAAATTTAACAAAATTAAAATGAAAGGAGCTAAAAATAAAATAAAAGTTGTTTTAACATTTCTTTTTTAAAACTTTTAAATAAAATCAATTTTAAAATCAAATTTTAAAATAATAAATTAATTAAACATGGTTTCTTTTAAAGTAATTGCAAAAGCATTCATTTTAAGTAAAATTTTGCATGCTTTTGTTAAAACATGCAAAAACCATGGTAAAACATAATTACCATGCTAAAACATAATTTAATAGTGTACTTAGTTATTTTACTTAATACTAACGCTGTTAAAAGAAATTACCATGTTTTAGCATGGTTTCTTTTAAAGTCTTTAAAATGTGCTTTAAATTTTAGTAACTAATTGCTTTTTTATCATATGTACTTTTTATAATATATAAAAAACTATCAATCGCATAATTATTTGGAAAAAAAATTGCTGAAGTGATACGTGTGTTTGTACAAATTTTAAGCAAATGTCGACATTTGCATGTGCAAAAATATAGAAATGTGATGTTCATTTTTCTGTCTTATTCTAACAAAAGTTTGCACTTTGATTTGTCACGTCATGACATCATATATTTGCTACGTTAATATTATGAGTTAATATTACGTTAGTATTAAAAGTATGTTGTCAAAACGACTTAAAAATCTGGCTATCTTTTCGCAACTAAACAATATTTCTGTGGTCAGCAATCGAGACTGATCACTCCCAGTTCCCGGCCAAGCCTGATATATATATATATATATATATATATATATATATATATATATATATATATATATATATATATATATATATATATATATATATATATCAGGGGTGTACCCTCATGGTTATCCCGTAGCACGGGACAACTCGTTTTATCCGAGCGCAACTAAATTTTTTTTTAAAATGCCTGTCAATACCCATATTTATTAGTGATACCAATTAATCAGCCTTTGCATAAGCTTAACTAAGTACATTTTACACAATCAATAATTGCTTAAATTTTATTTTTTTGGCACTATGAAAGAAGCTATACGTGAAATAAACTAAACTATGCATTATTGAGAATTTAATTGGATAACAGTCCTAATTTTTAATAGGTAAACTTATTTTTGAGAAAAAAAATAAATTTTGTAAATATTGTTTTAATAAAACAATAGTTACACTTTTTTATAATTTCTTCATGGAAATAAAAAAGTAAATAAATGTGAAGAAGCTAATCAGTTTCATATCAGTAAACCCACAAATAAATAAAAAACAAACTAGAATGTTAACAAAATATATACGTAAATACATGAATAAGCACATACATAGTATAACACATTTATACATACATAGATACATTCATACCTCGTTTGTTTTCTGTCCCCAATATTTTAAAGACTGATGGCAAACAGGACTATCGTCGGTAACAAATTCTAATTTCGGAAGTTCAGGTACAAAAATTTCCATCTTAAATATAATAATTTAGTTTTCGTATTGCTTGAATCTATATTAGATAATATATAAACTTTTTCACGTTTGTCTACTTGAAAAAAAACTAATCTCACTCAATATTTATAACGTTAATTGTTATGAAATTTGTTTTTATTCCTTTCTCGTGTTGTGATTGCGTAATGCTTTCAGATTAAAAATATTTTGGCAAGAAAAATTAAGTCTTGAAAAAAAAAGTAACTTCCCGAAACTTTTTTGCACTAATTTACTCTTTACTAGGCTGCAAGCAATCACTAAATATTTTGGAGCTAACAGAAAACAAAGCTGAATAGTTGAATAGCTAGAAAGCGAGTAAAAAGATTATAAACTGTTATTTATAATCTTTTTAAGACTTAAATTACAAAGTACAGTCTTTTAAGTCTGCAGTGTATTGTGAGTTAGGAAACCACGAAGACAGAAGACAGAAAAGACTTCTAAAGAACCAATGTAAGCAGAGACAATTTTACGGGTGTGTAAAGGATGAGGGTGTTCCCTTCCCCCCCCCCCCCCCTCCAAAAAAAAAAAAAAAAAAAGAGGGTGATTTTCAAGTTAAAGTCGGTTTTTTTACGAACTTAGTCGGTTAGTCGGGTATTTGGCACAACTCAGTCGAGTAAATTTTAGTTTTGAAGACCATTTTTTTTTTTTAGAAGCCAGTCAGTACTTTATAAGAATTCAACCCCATCCCCCTAATTTTTTTTTTAGAATCGCCTCTGAAAGTAAGAATAAAAATACGAAGTATTTAAAATATTTTTGCGCATAAAGGTTCAGTTAAAGTAAAAGGATGTCCCTTTGCTGAATGTCATCATCACACGAGATTGAATCTGGTTGACAGAACAAGTGAACTTGCTGGAGCAGCGAAAAGATCCAATCTTAAAACAATGGTACAGAGGCTCAAAAGATGAAAAAGACATAAAAGTTTTTTGATTATGATATTTTTAAAAGGTTAAATTTAACTTAAAATTTTAAAGCAGGTGAACTGGTGGCAACTTATTTTTGGCAATTGAAATAACTTTCAGGCATGAAAACTTCCAAATTACTTGGGCAGGGGCGTCCCAAGTTATGGGGAACGTTAAAACCCGTAAATTTCAGCCAACGAAAACTTTTTTTTATTATTATTTAGGTGCTCCAAAAAGGCCTTTTGGTCTTATTACAGAGCACCGCGGATGAGCATTTAATTGGTTGTTCACGCCTCCTTCATAACCGATGTCGCAAAAACTTGCCCAAAGGTGGGGTTTGAACCACGGATCCTTTGTTTCTGAGACAAGTGCGCCGCGACTGCTCTTTTAAGACCTTAATCAACAAAACTTTTTTTTTGGCCATAGTCTGCACATAGTTTGAACTTGGGTATTTATAATAAAATTGAATAAAGAGCATTTTTAATTTGAAAAATCTGCAAGAGGAAGAGGGAGGGGGCAATTTTTCAATTTGATTGATTCAGTCCATCTATTAATGATTTTTTAAGCAGGCAAGCCCAAAAGATACAGCTTGCACTACAGAATTTCATCCGAATTTCATGCCACTTTGAAATAGCCTTCCAAAAATTACTAACTTTTTTAAGCAATGTGCTCAATATCTCAAAAAAAATACATCTAAGGGGGGAGCAATCATTCCAATAGCCTCCCCCTATGTATCTCTTTAAATCTTCCTGCCCTTGGGCTGGAGGATTTAAAGAGATTTTCTTTCTATCGCAGTGAGAAGCTCATATATTAGTTTTATTTAGAAATTTTTTAATAAACAGTATTTTTTATTAAATGAGTGTAGAGCTGTAGATTCTTTTCTACCATTTTGGCTTAACACATTACAATAGTAAATATATAAAACAACAAATGATTGTTTCTCCCAATATCAAGGCTCATCAGCATGTCTACGAACATATTTTATTGTAGACATGGACAATCAGAGAAAAAAAATTAAGAACAGAAAAGAGAATGACACAAATACAAATAAATTTATATAAATAGTAAAATAAAAGGCTATATATTTTTATTTACAAGATTTTCAAAAAAATTAAACCAAGTTAAACCTTAACAACAAGGAAGATGCTCATTTTTGATTAAATGAAAAAAAAATAAAAAACTGGTTTAAATGGCACAAAATTTAAGAATATTATTAGGTTGATTGAGAGAAAATTTATTTAAAGTTATTTTTATTTTTTATTTTTTAATTTTGTGGCTAAATCAGAAAATGATAGAAATAGATTGTCATTGTCAGAAAGAGATGGTAAGTATTTTCATGAACTATGACCACTAATCATATAGCTAATCCCAAACAAATTAATGGGGTTACATATAACCCGTGTTGTTAAGGACACCATTGATGTTCTTAACAACACGGGTTAACATCATCCTGGTCTTTAGAGAGATTTCCATGCCTATTTGTTAGCTATTACACGAAAAGTGCTGATAAAAGACAAGAATTTCTTAATATAAAGTGTGTTAGAATAAGCAGCATAAACACTAATCTCATAGTCTAACTAAACACTAACCATAGTCTTACTAAACACTAATCATAGTCTCACTAAACAATAATCATAGTCTCACTAAACACTAATCATAGTGTAAATAAACACATTAATCTCATAGTCTCACTAAACACTAATCATTGTCTCACTAAACACTAATCATAGTCTAAATAAACACTAATCATAGTCTCACTAAACAATAATCATAGTCTCACTAAACACTAATCATAGTCTAAATAAACACTAATCATAGTCTAGTCATAGTCTCTAATCATAGTAATTCATGGTAGTCGAGTAGAACTAAAACTAGACGCAGTAGGGTGCGTTTTGCGTGAGTTACTGCTTAATGAACTGCAAAAAACTCTGCCCATTCATCCATCTGGATGGATAAAATAAGCATCTGTAAAACTGAGTTGAAGTGCTAATCACAAAACATACCGTCACCAATTGTCTTCTTTCTATAAATTTGCTTTACTCCTATTCCGGTAACAATTTTCTGAGACTTTAGTCCAATTTGACTTATCAACATTATAAATACAGCAAAAACATTCCATTGAAAGAGGTAGCCAAAAAAAATAATTATTGTATATATGTAGATATTAGGTTTTAAAAGAGTAAAATAGAGAAATGAAATGATACATTTTTTATTTGTGTCTTTAAACCAGCTTATGCAGCAGCGAAGTAAGAGGGGAGGCAGGTGCAAAGGCACCCCAAAGTCGCAAATGAAATTTTCAGATTTGACACTTTTATGTGTCAAATCTGAAAATTTAAGTATGTCCATTCTTAAGTCAAATGAAAATGTTTTTCAGCAAAAAAAATTGCTGTTTTTGGAGCCTGGGATCAAAGTTACTCCTAAAAATTACCCTTTCATAGCCCCCAAATGTAAGCAATGAGTTAATAAAATACTTTTTTTACTAAATATCAACTTATCGAAAGGTTTCAACTTTCATCAAATAATCTTTGAAAGTTATGACCATATTACAACTTTCATCAAATAATCTTTGAAAGTTATGATCATTTACAAACCCCTCATTTTAGGGAGGTTGAAAACTTTATACAGTCATATCTTTTGAACTCTAACAAATTAATTGATGAAGATAAAACCTGGCGATGAATGGCAATTTAAACTTAGAACAAAACATTAAAAAATAGTAACTTATTAATTTAACCTCTTATAATTCGGGCCGTGGTAACTTTTATTCTTGTTTCCAGGCACCAATGACTGGAGCCTCAAATAATTTTTAATTACAGAAAAGTTATATTGTTTTTTTAAACAAGAAATAAAGCACAAAAAATTTGATAAAAGTTTAACTATTTTATGATAACTGTTATAACGATTATAGTGTTTTTCATTTTTCAAGTTAGACAAAGGAGCAAAATTATTATATGTCTAAATTTAAATCAAATGGGTATTTTCGTGTTATCATTATTATTGATGATTTTATCTAATTAATGATATAAAGAAGTTTGATGAGGAGGAAATATGTATAACAAAGAGTATAATACATCATTGTTAATTTTTTAAACATTTTATTCAACATTTACTTATACATTTAATAAACTTACTTAGTAGACAAACGACTATAAAGTTTTACATTACACATAGTTCAGAACGTTATTCATCTACATCTATATCTAATTTTAAGTTTTCGTCAACATTGTCAACATTGTCAACATTTAAATATAATTCATTCAAACCATTAATTTCGTCTTATTTCATATCTGTTGAATTTTCTCTATCATTGCTACAAACTGCTAACAAAATTTTAACTTTTTCTGTTAGGCATAAAAGTTTCTTTTTTTTTAATCTATTAATTAATGAGATGGAAATAATTTGTGGATTAGAAGTATGTATAGCTAGAATGAAAATGTCAAATAAGTTCGTTTCTCTGCTTTTTTTTACTTGCGATGTGCTCACGATCAAATTTGAAAACTTTATGTCAAAATTAAGCCGGTTCTCGTTAAACCAAGCGAAACTGGTGAACTAATAATGATTCTGCTAACATGTGCTTATACTTTGTAAATGGAAGCTGGGGTCTTAAATCAATCTTTAATAATTTCTTTTATGTACCATTAGAGCATTTATATTTTTTTCCGTGTCATTTGGGTTTTCGGAATTTATTGCAATTAAAATATTATGTAACCTGATAATAACCAAAAGGTTTGCTAAGTTATAAAGGATCAGAAAAAGCTTTTCGGCATAATTTTCCGATATTACTTGTTCCTGATCCGCCAGCTCTTAGTTCATTAATTCTTATACTGAGTATATACTTCATTATAGTTTAAACATCCTATCATGAGCAAATTTTTTTCGAAATAATGTTGATTTAATAATTTTTATTTCAATTCAACATGAAATATGTAGAATAAATTCAAAAAACCTGTTCCAAGAATGTAGTGGTGAAATGCCATAGCACAATGTCTGCCCATCTGTAACAAATCCTTTGTTAAAGATTTTTAGATTGCTCATCATATTATTCCAAATCAGACAATATTGTATCGAGGATGTGTCTGTGATGTAAATTAAGATTTTACCTCCAACCATTAAAAAAACAAATCTTAAATCAATCAAAATATACTTATGTTGGAAAGTAAACGAAATTTTTAATTTCCACTTTAAGTTTTAATGCAACTTCTTTATTTTCGTTTATATACTCCAGCATAATTGGTCTACAAAATCTAATGCCCTGAGACATTATCTTATTAACATAAGGTATTGTTAGGATCTAGAGTTACATATAGTCAAAGAGGTGGTGTTGCTGTGGCTAATACATACAAATC